GTGATTGGTTAGTTTGCTGAGAAAAAATAATTTACAGATTTCTTTGAATGGGAGTTCAAAAGCTTTCAGAAAAAGAGTGCAATATAAAATCTATTATTATTAAATTATAACCAACTATTTTTAAAGAATTTAATAAAGTTAAAAATACAAAAACATTTTGACTCATTTTGTCAAAATAGAAAAAAATTACCACTCTCAATTGCGAACAAACTTGAATCATTGTGTGAACGCGGACAGAATTTAAAAACCGAATCCTAATATCCGTCTTCCACATCCACCATAATCTTTGCCTTTCCTAAATTGCACAGTCTGCATAGAGATCAAAGGCTTCTACATTTGCATGGGAGAATTTTATGTTGTATTCTAGTTTAACAGGGTTATAATGGAGCAAATTTTGATGAAAGCAAAGTAAGTTGATGATATTTTAACTGTTTGGAGATACATTTCCGTCTAAAAAATGTGGGTATAATGGATGAAACAATTTAAATTAAGAAAATTAGCAAATAATTTAAATTAGTGAAATTAAAAAAATATATAAGAAAAAATTTCCAGTTTTTCTTTAAAATTTCCAGGTTTTTATTCATATTTCCCTGATTTTTCCAGGCTTTTTCCAGTATGAAAAAAATTCCCTGATAATTCCAGGTTTTCAAGGTTTTCCAGGTGGGTGGCCACCCTGATTAAGCATTTCTTACATTGCCCAGGCATTGTATAAAATGACAACCTGGAAAAGCACAAAATATCATAAATTTTATGCATTTAATTAGTACGACAATGATTTATTACTATTGGTTGAATGTAATTTTTTGGTGAAATAAGTGGGCTCCTTTTTAATTTTATTCAGTAAGAAAATCATCAATTTTAAGTAATCGCTATATGTTATTAATAATAATTGAATTAACACAAAAAAAACAAGAAGCTGTGTAAGTTGATACAAGTAACAGAGGCCAGGGCTCTTAAAAGGCTGTAGCACCAAAGATGACAGCAAGTATTTTTAAATAAAATTCCATTTTATAAAATTAAATTTAAAATTGATTGCAAGCCATCAAGTTACAGCAGAAATTGCTTTTTCTTATATAATTTTGAGACAAGACTTAAAAATTTATATTACAGTACTGACTTTAAGTTGCAAAATCATGGAAGAGTTATTGATAACAAAATGAAAATTCACTTGCAGAAATATTCAAATAATAAAATTACATAATCGAAAGTAATGAGTAATTAAAAAGGATACATGGGCTTGAAAGATCGTCTTTTTCGCCTTGAAAACAACTTTGCTAGCTGGGTGAACTTCTTTCGAGATACTATAAAAATTTAATTATTAAAACACACATAATATTATTCAAAGCAGTTACAAAAATAGCATTATTATGAACTTAAAAGTTTTACTTCATGTGATAGCTTCAAAAAACAGTTCACCTTTAAAGTAAAACTAGACAGTTTTATTTTTTAGCATGGTGCCAACTGGTAAGAAAAACTTTGTTTTATATCATTTTGTTTTTATTATTTTGTTAGCTGAAAAGAAAACTTTTTTTCATGTGAACTCTTTGTTAACGTAATTTAGGCTGTTCTTACCTCTCCCTCCCAAATAATTTAGAAATTAAAATTATGTTAGTTGATGTACTTAAAAAATATTTTGTCGAACTTAGTACTATTTTCTGACAATTTAAAGGGTTTTTTTAATTATCCACGCTTATTCCAAATTAACCTGTACCTGGTAGATCTAGTTCAGCCTTACCAGAACAGTCGAAGCTGTGCTGGTCGCAAGTGAGCAACGTTTATTTTAACAATTTTTATCTGCTTAATCATTTGATTTATTTATAATTGGAATATTATAAATCAATTATAAAAGAAATGATGCATTAGCGATCATTTTATGCTTTAATTTTGCTCAAAACGAAATTATCTGTTTATTTTTTACATCTATTTCTTTTAATTATTTTAAATGTTTTTTAGCTGTTAATCATTTGATGTGTTAAAATTTTATAAATTTACAATCAGTAAAAAGAAACTGGATATTTACGTGATTATTTTGTGTAATACAATTTTGCGCAAAACAAGATTTTATTTAATTATTATTAATATTTTTTTGAATTATTGTAAGGATTTTTAGCTATTTAATTAATTAATTTAATAGTATTTAAGTATTTCAATTCAAATTTTGATAAAGCGACGTGATGCGACCGCGATTGGAAATATTTTGTGCTATTTTAATTATGTTTAGATTTAAATCAGTTGGTTTACATAATATTCAAGTATTTTACATTAGCATTTATTAATGTAATGTGTTTGAGATTGCGTTGAGTTTGCATTGTGCACAATTGTAATTTTGCATACATTTGAAAAGTTATGATAAAAAGTTATCGAAATGCAATATTTCTGATTTTAAGCAAGATTGCATACATTAATTTATTCCATATTTTATAATTATTTCAATGATTTTTAAAAGTTTAATCATTTATTTTGTGTATAACTTGTTATTTGTAATAGATGTATTATCTTCTTGATCAATCACGCAGCACAATTCAGTGTGGCGTATCACATAGTGGGGCCTTTCTGATGAAAATCTTTTTCCTTTTTAATCAACTTTTATGGGTGTGATGTATATACCAGGGCAGCGTATTTCAGCAAAATTATAGCACTACAAACAACTAAGTAAAAATATCTATTTTAAAAATATACAAGAAATATTTTTCAACAAATGGACAGGAAAAAAAAATCATGTACTTTATATAATAAAGATATTAGTTAATATTTGAACTCAGTTTTTGATACTTCCTTCTAAATTTCATTACTTTCCTCACCTTTTCCCATGTTTTTCAACTTTTCTCTAAAGGCAGCATCTGTTTCTTCAGGTTGAGCACTCTCACAATAAGGGTAACCTGAATCCAATTCCTCGGTCACCTCTTCCCCATCTGCTTCCTCCTCTTCAGGTGATGAAACTTCTGGGGAAAAAAACCAATAATGTTCATATTACTAATTGACTATATTTTATGTGACGGAAATTAATTGCAAAACAGAAGCAAAAAAACCTTTAGTGATTTCACACATCTATAAAATAAAGAGGATATAACATATATTCATCATCTATTTGTACAGTTATCTGACCAGTTTTCTTATTTTCATTGTTTTGCAATTTATAATTACTTTAGTGCCAATTGTTCCCATTCCATTTGAACCTCTTAAAACATTTCTTCAACAGGATCTACTTTAGCATTTTCATTTTTTATTCAATTCTTCATTTCATTTCTTTTCTCTCCCGTTTCTTATTAGAACTATCAATTTATTTGCAGTTTCCATTCAAATCTTTAATTAATGCTTCTACTTAGTACGGTATTTTTGGTAAGTTTCAGTTAAGTCTACTACTTAGTATCTTAGCAAGTTCAGTGAGTGAGTAGGTGGGTGACTACTCTGATCAGCCTGCATAGAGACTGAGGACGCTAGGTATTAGTCCTCGTTAAACTGTTCTACCATAAAGTGCTAGACATCGAGAGCAGGTTGTGGAGCTTACAAAGCAGGAAGCCACTCCCCCTCCAAGGAGAGGATCAAAATTGTCATAGTATGTCTTTGAATCATCTTCGGGGAGGTTTCTTAGACCGTACCCAACAATCCATTGTGAAGCTCTAATGCAACAGAAATAAAAAGCAGTAACGAAAACCTCTAAATCAATTTCTTTCTCAATCCAGGAAATACATAACATAGTTTCTTATTTTAAAAACAAATTCAAATACCTTACTCATAATACTTAAATAAACATCTTAACTAAAAATATATCACAATCAAATCTAAATGTTATCTCTTGCCCAACTTTTTAAAGGTTTTTACGAATTTAGTTATGAAATTAATTTTATTTCATAACTAAACTTAGCTAACTAATTTAAAGCTATTAAAAATTCTAAACATTTCTAGAATATTCTCGACTATTAACTTTGAGTACATTTTCAAGTTCACAGTGAAACATAAAACACTATTTTAAAATACTTATTTTCTAAAAGCTCTATGTTCTATAACAAAACAAAAGAACTTATAACACTGTACTAACAAATTAATTTGTAACATTCAGTCAAAATCTGTGATACTAACTTGATAATCTAAAAGACGCACCACATAGCCTTTATCGCTGCCGCTGAACATATGAAAATATTTGACTTATTTTTGGCAAGGGGGACAAAGGTTTCATTATTTCAGGCAATGACATCAGACCTAATTATAAATGCAAGCAATGCTTTAGTCAATGACACACACTTCAACTCCTTTTTCACCATTTACAAATTTTTCCTGTGAGACAATTACTACAACATTTATCAGCTTCAGGAAACCAACTTTAGAGGAACAGTCTTAAGATATTTCTCAGCCTTATGGCTCTTCCCTTATTTCTTGTTTCAAGTCAACCTTTGAAACCTGCCACCTACAATGATTCTTTCACCAAACTTCAGCAGTAATCATATTTTTTACTTCTTTTTTTACATTTTCACGAACTAGCCCTATACTAATAAATTCCATAAAAAAATTTGAATTTCTCTCATAGTAGTTTAAAGCCAAACCATGCAGCAACAATGCTAGATTTAAACTACTATTGTAGGAAAATGTTTACATCTGAAAATTGGGTGGATAAATAAGATGTGATTTGAAACATATTTGACGTAACAACTTACCTCTTTCTAGTGTGGAGAGAAACTCTTTGTTATCTTTCAGTTCTTGAAAAAATTCTTCATTTTGNAAAATCAAATATACGGACTTCGGAAAGTCCCGCCGATTCCGGATACGCGACTTTCCACTGTACTAATAAATTCCATAAAAAATTTGCTATAGTAATAAATTCCATAAAAAATTTGAATTTCTCTAATAGTAGTTTAAAGCTAAAGTATGCAGCAACATTGCTAGATTTAAACTACTATTGTAGGAAAATGCTTACACCTGAAAATTGGGTGGATAAATAAGATGAGATTTGAAAAATTTTTGACGTAACAACGTACCTCTTTCTAGCGTGGAGAGAAACTCTTTGTTATCTTTCAGTTCTTGAAAAAATTCTTCATTTTGTAGAAATAATGCTATTCTTTCATCTTCCAAATACTGTGTCAATTCAGGGTCATTTGCAGATGTGCTGTCATTTCTCTTACGCTCATTCTCCTCCATCCTCTGTTGAAGGACAGTCGAGCTCAACACAGTCACTTTCTATGAATTTAACAATGAAAACTGCTTTAAAAATAGCATGATTTTAATTGCATTGAAAATCCTTAAATAAAAAATCTAAGAATAATTATTCGTTAATTTTCTCATTCTATTCAATTATGGTCAAAAAAAAATTTTTAATTGTAAGGTATATAAATTTTTACATCACTTTATACATCATTTTTACATTCATCTATATATACAATTTTAAGTGACTACTTCTGATTGAAAATCCAAGGCTATGAACAGAAAGTATTAAAAAACAATGTTCATGAATTCGAGGTCCATTGTTTTATTTAGTGCTAAAAAAGAAAATTTTTAAGTTGCAAAACCCAAAGTTTGAATGAAATTGATTGAATGGTAAATAAAAATTTAAAAATAAAACACTTTTTTGAATTTTCTTAATTTAGAAATTAATTGACTGATTTCTTTCAAATTTTGTATTTTGTCATTTAAAATTATTAAGTTTTAAATGATGAAAAAATTTATACAACTTGCAATTCAAAAAATTTTTATCATTTAAATAACACAATAAACAATTCATAATTTTCTTTATCTTTCTTTAAAAGAAGCTATCTTCCAATAAACAAATTCTATAATTGTGAGCATAATTTTTTTTTTCAATTTGCTTAATTTCTTGAGATATAGAGAAATAAACATTAAAGCATCTAAAATTTTGAAGACTTTCCTCTTTAAACTATTGAAACCCTGTTTTCTAGATGGCAGCTACTCCCATAATTTGATGGTTAAAAATCTGAATCCATTTGAAAAAAAGTATGGTTATTGAGAGAAAGCTTGTTTGTGCATCTAATACTGTAACTTAACTAATGGCCAAAATAAATTTATTAGAATATTTGAAGAGCTTAGTGAAAGAACCGGCAAAGTGACATTTTTAAAAAATTGAAATTTCTTGGGTAAAGTTATTATTTCAGCTTTATTTAAATAAATAACATTCATTTATATTGATAAATCTATTCATTCTGAAGAGGGACAAAGGATTCTCAAAGGGACATTATTTGAGCACTCAGCAGATGGAAGAACCGGCTAAGTGACTTGGCGACATATAGTCAATAAACAACCCTAGAAAATATCTTGCTTGGCATCGAACACTAAGGCACATGGGGGGAGGGAGAGAATTGATGAAAATTTAAACAGCAGCTTCCATGCATTAGCGAGGAATTGATGGATTTTTTTATGAATTAATAATTAAAAAAGACAAGAAAAAATAACCTTTAAACAGATTCATCAGTCAATTTTTTTGTTTTTGGTCTGCATTAGTTTGTGTTTCACAGACACACAGACCAAGTAAAAAATTTAGTTTTTTTTTTTCCGAAACAGTGTTGAAAATAACTATTATTTTGTACTTAGGCAACATTTTCACTTTAATATTATTGTTACTTGCAGAATTCTGGTTTTTCTTTTTGAAATAAAATTAAAAAATCAATAAATCTGTAATGATCAACATTGCAAAATCATGCACAAAATTAAAAAAAAATCTGTGCTAATTTTTATGTTTTGACAATATCAAAGTTAATGCTCTTAAAAGATCTATAGTACAAGTATATACATAGGTACTAACACTCATACAATTGTTAAATTTCTAGCCTCTTCATTTTGAACATAATGCTGTATGATGTTGTTAATATGTCCAAAAATTTCCACCTATTAATTATTATGTGCAATTATTGATTGCTTCACTTGATGCTATCTCGTTATTCATTACTCCTTTTAAGGGTACTTTGAGTTGCATGGAAACCAGATCATGAGAATTTAGTGATTTTGAAGTTAATAAGTGCAATAATATAGCCAAAATTATTCCTTCATCAGAACACTTCCCAATTTGGTGACAAATTTTAGGGGAATCTGATGGTCTAGGAATAATTCCATTTTTTCTCTTCATTATTTATAAGTGAGGAAGACAGATTTGCCTTTTGCAAAACATGTGATTGTTTTTATTCTGATAATGATGCTTTAAAAAGTACAGTAGAGAACCATTTATCCGGTATCCAGATAACCGGGAAACCAGAAAACCAGGAAAAATTTTGCTCGAATTTCCCGCCATTTTAAACTAGAACGAAAAAAGCGGGAATTGGACTCATCCTTGAAGTTGAGTAGAGGAAAATGTAAGGAAGGGGAAGATTTTTTCCCCCGTTTACCCAGAGAAACGTCATTTCCTCCGTGACCTTGAAGGCAGGCAAGGGAGGAATGTTTTATTTTTTCCTTTAGGCCGTCAATCAAACTCAAGGGTGTGGCATGCTGATTTCGTTTTCTGCTTGATTTACGAGGGGGGTGGGGAAAATGCATTGCATGCATATCAGTGAACAGAAAAAGAAAAGAGAAAAATATATTTATTTGACATCGACTAATAAAAATAAAATCTTTTTCTTTTGAATAAATTCTCATTCTTTGGAAGTGCGGTATCAATTGCAAGTTTTTCTTGGTGTGGAATCACATCTGCTGTAATTAAAAATCTTGTTTTTATCAACAAAAAAAAAAAAAAATAAAATGAAAGGAGAATTGTTTATTAATTTAAACATAGGATTATTTTATGAAGCAGATTGCAGTTTTGTTTTTCTGATTCCACTACGTTTGATTTTTTTTCTTTTCGCGATAAATTTCGCACTCAATAAATTAATTCTTTTTATTCATAAATTTTATCATTAGGTTTTTTTTTTTTAAATTCCGTTGATCTTGCCTTGTTCCGGGTTTTAATATTTATGCTAGTGCCTTTTTTAACTATCGTTTCGGTTCGATAATTTTCAAGTGTTTTTATTTAGATTAATAAGTTTTCCTTTTATTTTATCGTTTCCCCCCGTATAATTAGGTATGAAATATATTGCGTTATTTAATCATTGGTTTTGTTTATATTATTTAATTTAGGAATTGTAATTATTTTTAAAAAATAAATATGAGAATTTTGTATTTTTTAAACTTGATTTTCTTGTCTAAACTTGCAAATTTTTTTATTCTTTTAAATGTTATATTTCTACCATTTTTTTTTCTTTTTAAAGTTAGGAGTACCTTTCTTTTTTCTCTTACTTTATGCATTACACTTTTTCCTTGTACTTCGGGTTCGATAAAACATCGATTAACGACACTTTTTGGTCGATCCAGAAAACCGGGAAATTCAGATATCCGGGATAGCGATGGTCCCGAGCATCCTGGATAATTGGTTCTCTACTGTATTATAAGTAAAATATAGTTATAAGGTATCGTTGTGCACGTTGCCTTTATAAGGTATAATGCAAACTTCAAATAGTATTTTACAAAACACTACTGGGAGTTTCTATTATATCTTGCAAGGTAACAAGTACAAAGATACCTAAAATCTATATTTTATACTAACAAAGCTAAAGTACAAGATCGATAACTCACATGAAGTCAAATAAACACAAAGCCTTGAACTAAATACTTATTTTGACCATTTTAGAAGATTCATTATTACCTGGAATGCCACAAATTTCTTAATTTGTATTTATTGTAGCATTCAAATACAAAAGTCTTAAAATCTGTTCACAGATAAACTGTATATAGGGCATTTATAGTAGATATTTATATATACATATAATTAAGAATAATTTTTGATGTATAATTGTCAGTAAGCTTAATTAAATATAAAAACAAAACATTTTAATAAACAAATTTAAACATTATCTTTCTCTCACATACTTTAACACTTGGTTGTACAACAGATAGGCCACTGATTTTTAGAAATTGAGGGGGAAGTTCTCCTAAAAGAGGAGGATTCCAATTCTTTAACACTTTCATAGCCACATCAGACCTACTGGCTTCAATAGAAATCTCAGAACATTCAGATACATCAGATAGCCTACCTAAATGCATGATAAAAAAAAAAGCTCTTAAAATACAATAGTTAATTAATCAGTTTAATATATAATCACACTGGTAGCATAAATCCTGCACTAAGGTAGATGATTATTAGGACCTCTTCAAATTATTTTTTACCAAATGTTCTTGCTTTTTACTTTATAAAAGTAAAATCGTAATTGAGCCTCTTATGAAATTTGTCAGCAGAAAAAGATAAGACAAGCTTCAAACCTTTCTTTGAGTAATTACTCAAATTTAGATTTAAACAAAAAGTATTCCTACTAACTTGATTTGTACTAATGGTTTTCTAACAGATCAACAAATAGACAAACGAACTAAACTTCAACCAAAAACCATTATAACGGTTTATTTCATTTAAATTAATCAACCTTGGTTTAAACTATTAAACTAAGCTTTATTTTTACAATAATAGTGTCACAAACAAATTTATGAAAACAGCGCTGCAGATTGACTTGGTTACGAAGATAATCACAAATAAAATTAATTCTTAAAATTATTTCTGAAAAATTTCTTTTCTGTTCTTAAAAGGTTTAAATAATTTTAACTTCTTTTTCCTAAACTAAATTCAGATTTCTGGATTTAATTATTGAAGACTTGCCTCATCCAGATAAAATATATTTAAAGTTAAAAAGAAATTATTATCTGAATTATTAATTAATGAATAAAGATTAAACCATAAATTTAAATCAAAATAATTTCATCATGAAATTTCGAAGAGGTTTTCAGAAAGGAGTTAATTTGAATAAAATAAAAAAATTCTCCATTACTCATTACTCAGACCCTTCTAAGTAGAATTTAAGGAGTCTCAAAGCAGCAAAACCCTAAGTAGTTTTTACTCTATCGAAAGTTCAAAACACATAGTCAGTCATACATACACAGCAATGCAGCTGAATTTTAGGAACAAAAGCTAGGTTATTAAATAAGGTATACTCTATTGAAAGTTCAAAATACTTAGTCAGTCATACATTCACAGCGATGCAGCTGAATTTTAGGTACAAAAGCTAGGTTATTAAATAAGGTAAAATGATCTAATCAAACTATCTGAAAAGAGTTGCCTAAGGAGTTCTGATGGATGGCATGAAATAGTGAGCAGAGTACTAAACCCTTTAGAAGTAGAAAGTATGTTAAGGGCAAATCCATGGTAAGGTCAACTAGATATCCAAAATTTCAAAATTAATATTTTAAAGCATACAAGGCATTATTTCAAAGAAATTTCATCCGACATAAAAAAATTTACGTCCAACAGTGGAGAAATTTTTTTTATTAATTATACATCATATTTTACAAGTTACGAGCTACCGAGAATTCTTTTTTCAAATGTCCGTTTCTAAATTCAGTCAAGTTTAAACTTAAATTACAAACAAATTCACAGACTTTTAACAATATGCAACTAAATGTAAAATTCTTCACAGAAGAGCCTTAAACCAAATATAGGTATTAACAATAATCCAACATTTAAAAACTATTCAAAAACTTAACCATTTAAATAATTTAAGAGAAAATTTAATAGATAGTAAACAAAGAACTCAGGAAAAAGAGAATATTTGAATAGCCTAGAAAAAGTTTTGCTCGGGCTCAATACAAAGTACTGGCTTTGACAATAATTAATTTATCTACAAAACGATACCATTTTTATAAATTCTTCCGTGTAAATTCCGTGTAGTAAAAAGTCTAATTAAAATAATGAAAATGTATAACCATCTAGAAATAACTTGTTATACTTTTTTACCAAAATCCCAAATATTTAATCAAAAAGGGCACAAATTCAAAACGTAAAAACTGTTTTTATAAACAGGGACAAAAATTTCGTTTAAAAACAAAATTAAATGGTACAAAACATACATTACAAATAAAGCATAATACAGTACTAAGTTCCACGTCCCGTGTACTGGAAACATCTATTTTCTAGGCAATTTTTCACAATCAAAATAAACAAATCTCTTTTCCTTTTTTTAAAAGTCTTGCTGCTATTCTGATATCTAAATATTTTATCTGCTTCAATTAGCACACTAAAAGAGTACAGTAGAAAAGATGAGAGCAGTTAAAAACAAACTTTGGCAAGTATAATAAATTTATAAACTGTTTTTGTTAACTGACACACAACTTTTATTTTTAAAAATATTTAAAAAATAATAGTTTGTGCTACAAAACATACCCTACAAATAAAACATTATAGCACATTTTCTAATTTAAAAAATTCATTTATAATACCATTTTCAGTAGGAAGCTGGGGCTGTACAGTAGGTTGCTTTGCACAGGCCTCACGAGGCGTCACATTCGATGCATCGGTATCCCCTGCCGCCAAAGCATGAGCTGGACTCTGAGCATAAGGAACAGCCTGATTGTATGAAGGGGGTGGTGTGGAAGGTGAATAGCAAGGGGGCAGCTCGTCATTCTCGGTGGCATCCAGTTCTGTCCTCAGCTTCTCGTTCTCATTGTCCGTGCTCATTGTGAGCAGCTGATCGATAGTGGAATCGACTGCTCCATTGTTGGAACGTAGAACCACCTCAATAACATCCTCATCCATTTCTGGAAACATCGTTTTAAAGTCTCTCATCGCCTGTCGGAATTCTAATTGAGTGACTGGAGGCCTTTCCTGACACTGCTGCTGTTGTTGTTGCTCTTGGTCTACAGCTGCCATATTTTCCTAATCAAATGCGCTTAGTATCAAACAGAAGAAGCCTTGAGATTGTTTCATAGCTATAATGAGGAATGAAAATATGAATATAATGGATTTGGATGGTGGGATAGAATGGTGTTTTAACAACTTTCTTCATTTTAAATATATTAAAAGTTCAAAGTAAGAAAATAAATTTAAAGGTGTCAAATCTATGGCATAGTTTCATTTTGAGGGGTGGAGGTCATGGGAAAAAACCTTTTTGTATAATATGATTAATTAAAAATAGATAAAAATCTGAAAACAGTGAGTTATTTTATTTTAATAGCATTTTTTTAAAAAAAATAACTATTTAATAGAATCAAATGTTCTACGTCTGGAAGAGAAACATTTTTTTTTCTTTATATCTCATATGTCACCACTTGCTAACAAAATTCAACGCCGCTGCCTCAACCATTCTTCAGCTTTTGGAAATATAAATATAAACTGCAAAGCACAATAAAAGGCAAATTTATTTTTGATTCAATTCAAATTTAGTCTTTTGCAAGTGCGATTAGAAAATATCTAAGTAGTTGAGTATTTTGGTTATAATTATGGATCAGTGGCTAATTAAAAAAATTGGAACTAGTAATAATAATACTGTTAAAAATACTAATTCTATCTCCATAGATTATTTTTCCATGAATGTGGAATGTTGCACAAGTTCAGTAAATAACTTAATAACTGTAGATAAGAATATATATTTTGTTGTTCAAGTTTATTTTTCTAGTTTTACTCTTTGCTATTTTATGCTCATAGCATATCTCTTGAAAAGTGAATTTTCCTTAATTATTTAGCTGGTCTACTTTTCAGCTCTTATTTTTTATCTCATTAAAAAATTTATTGAAACAATTTGGATTTTCTCTACAAGACAAATTGTATACTTCTCACCATGTAAGAATTTTCTTTAAATTGGAAATTTTACTTTGATTTTTTTTCTCTTCTTTTCAAAAAAAGAAAAATATTCTTGAATGATGAACTAACTATGAGGCTGGGGCCCCTTGTTCCACCTCATGGGACCACATAACAAAAATATATTCGTAAAAATATAATAAAAGACAAATGTTATACAATACAGTAATTGCATTTTCTTTAGTAATTAAAATAAAAAATGCATTTTTAAAGATTAATAAAATAAATCTTCATTTGAAGAAAAATAAATTAAATAAATTATAAAAATTCTTACTGCACACAATAATTTATTGAATTTCATTGGAAAAATTTTTTTACCACTAATACTTAATTGATTTTGTATAATTTACAAGCAATGGCACAGTTGTCAAAGGACAATCTGAACACAATTCCTTGAAGCTACAGTTCATCATAAGCACAACTCCTAGCAAAGATAATTCAAATGTATAATTCGTTGTAATTTGTTACTATTCATTGAGGAGAAAATTCGGTACAGCAACAATTCTTTGTGAGAACAATTAGTCACTAACATCAAAAATTCGTGATATCTAATTTGAACGAATATTTTTGCCAGTCACTGCATATTTTAAAAAACCTTTCACATAGAAAGATTAAAACAATAAATTTATTTAACAGAGTCCATAAGAAATTATTAATATTATTTATTCTTAAAATATTTCAATATTTAAATTTTTTCTTAATTAATTAAAAAAATTAAGGAAAGATAAAATTTTTTAAAAAAAATATTATTTTAAACACTTTTAATGAGAAATTTATGCTCTATAAGAAAACCCATAAATATGTTTTTTCAGAGTGGAGAAAAAGTTTTGGGATACTTGATATTGAAATGTTTAGGACTACAAGCATCATAATTTTAAACTTAAAGGAAAATACACACACCAGTTTTAATGGGTTTGTAAAAACTGAAGGATGCTATAATATATTATTGAATTAAATTTCAAAACATTCTAATTTTATTTGCTTAATACCGAAAGGAAAACTACGTTCCCCATTGATGCCATGCACTTATTCATATCTAGTAATATTAAAATAAATTTCCAAATATGTCTCAGATATGTTCTTAAATTTTTAGATCGATCGAAACCTGATCGAAATGTATATTTAATTCCGTTATTTCATTATTTTTGTTATAATTTAAATCTAAGATAAAAAAAATATATTTTGTGTGCACTGATTTTGGCAACATCAATAATTGAGCTCCTTTATTCAAATATCGTCTGCTCTTTAAAAAATTACTGTACTTATGGAAGAATAAATACCTGGGGTGATAACACATTTTTTTCTTAAAACTTAAAAATGTACGATGTTGATACATTCGATTCTTTATTTGGCGATGTATTTATGCAAAATACAAACTCTAAGTAAGTGTTTTTTAAACATCCTGTTATTGCTAAAGCTGCTGATAAAACTTCAATGTTCGCAAATTACAAATGTAAATCTGAAAACTTATTTATTTTATACATGTAATATAAAAGACTTTATAGATTTAAACTATGAGGAAACTTTCCGTATCGTGATCTACGGTAGAATAATTGCTAAGTCTTGGCAATTTCCTTGCATTAACCAAAAAAAAAAAAAAAACAGTAGCATAGCTCTACAAGAACACTGTCATAACTCTAAAATGTAGCATTTGAGAAAAATCAACTTAAAGAATACTATAAAAATTCATAGTATGGTGGCACTCTTCATGGGGCACTTCATGCATATTTTTTATTGACATAACCTCGAAATTGTTTTTTCACTTGTGTCACTTTTCTAACTGAGTTGTGATATAATAAACTACATATTGCAAAAAAAGTTTTACAAAAATAAATTTTGCTCTATCAGTTTTCTGAAATTTTATTTTAGTGTTCATAGCATTAGCAATAGAATGAAAATAATTGTCAAGCCACTTTTCTCGAAATCCATCGTGAAGCACTAATGTTATGTTTTCCAATTGCACAGCACTATAACCCGAAACCACTCCTGGACAATTCCCTGCTACATATTTTCCCAAAAACTATTGCTAGTTTAAAATTCATTTGATCGTAGTTTAACATCAAATCATGATACGGAAATATTCCCAAACTATGTAATTTACTTGGCTTGAGTGCTTCTTATCTTTTAATTATTTTACTTTTTTCTTACAGAAACATTGCTTCGAGCAACAAACCTAATGCTGATGAAAATGGTAAAAAAAAAACTCATGTATCTATAAAAAGGATATTTATGATCTAATTTACTAGCTTATTTTAAAAAAAAACTTGTTTCATACAAATTTAAAAGACATGTCTGTCGGTTATTTTTTGTTTTGTTGCAAAATTAGAGCAAATAATGTTGTAGGAAAATTTTGCTGAAACCCTATTTCTGGTATCATATTTCATGTTATTGTTTATCGTTATACTTTTAGTACTTGGTTTATTTTCATATGTATTAATAACTATTTCTGTCTTTCATATGTATTAATAACTATCTTTCTACAAAAAATCTGTGGAAAAATGAATGTGCATTTTTTTTTTTTTTAACTTAGGAAAAAGGAATTGATTGGTGTATGCATGAATATTTGATTAGTACTCATTTTTTGTGGTGTTTGTATAAAAGATATGAGTTTGGTTGAACAAAGGGAACAAACAAATGATTATGATGACGAGATAGGTAAAAATGCTCATCATTATAAATTGTATCTAAGAAATGCTGCATGGTTTGAAGAGCGTAAAATGAATATGATTGAGGATTTAATATTTTCTTTTTTGTTGATATAGGAAGTTGAGAAAGCTTCATATGAATGAGGTGAAAGTGAGATCAGGAAAAGCTTTGATTGATAGGCGTGATTTGTGTAGAAAAGTGTGAAAAAGAGCATGAAATGATTAAAGGTCCTAGTAGTATGGTTGTAGAAATTGATATAAGCATGCTTAGTAAGAGAAAATGTAATTGTGATAGACAAGTGAATGGTGGTATAGAAATAGTGAGTGGTAAATGTTCCTTTGAGTTTGTAGAAGATCTTAAGAAAGAGTACATAATTCCAACATTGATGACGTAAAAAATCTGAATGACGCAGAGGAAAAAAACTTTCTTGAGCATAATGAAAAGGGACAGTTAGAAGTAAAACTAAGAGACTTGTGGATTTTGAAAAGTTCTATAGGACTAATTCACCTATATAACAAAATCTTATGTGTCCAAACAATTAATGTGATTTTATTTACTGTTAGCTTGAATTGTTACTAATTGTTATGCTGAAGTAGAGTTTAACTTATTAAAAAAAATAGTCTCCATGATACTTGATAATCGGTATTCTTATAGGTAAACATAAAAATGGCCTAGAGAAAAAATCATCAAAAAATGAAACATTAGAAGCAAAAATCGTAGGAAAATATATCACAACACGAAATTTAAGTTATTACCCAAAAAAATTGTCTGGGATTGATGATTTTCTGAAAAATGAAGGGTTTTTTTGTCATTTAATTACTCCTTAAATTTTGTAATTCCTGAAACTGGTGCAGATACCAATAGAATCAGGGGCATGTGAAGTCAGATAAAGTGAGCATTTTGCAAGTAAAATGCTATAGTTAGATGCTGGGTCTGTCGCGCTGTCATTACATTCTTGCAAACTGTTTTTCACCTGCATTGTTTGTTTGTTTTTTTAATTATTATCGATCTTAAATTATAAAAAAAAATCGCTGGTAAACATAAAAAGGGAAAGAGTAATAATTGAATTTTGGAGAATCAATTTAATAAAATAGAATTTTCAAGCTCAAGTTATAAAACAAAAAAAAAACAGGTAGAAATGTAATGTTTATGATCGCAAACGCCTTAGCATATCTATTTGATATTTCGGTATATATGCGTTTTATTAATTTTCGTTCTAAATCCCTTTTGTGCTGTGAGTTTGGTTAAGGCCAAGAACAGGTACTTATATGGTAATATCTCAAATATTTTCTCTAATTTTACTTTATTCTTTGTTTCAGTTTTAAAAAATGAAACCAATTCAAAACATCTTGTTCCTGTATCTGAAATTCGTATCCTTTAATGTATGTTTAAACCAGATAATATTCTTGTATCACTATCCTTATTAAAATTTACAAACTTCATATGTTTGGAGAGTACATGGTTCACCAAACTAGATTATTTTTGATTATTTGATTGAAACTTCATATGTTTATAAAGTTAAATTATATTTTAATTATATTTTAATTATTTTTTTAATTTATTTTTTATAATTTAAAATAAATAAACTAATTAAAAAGTATTTAATTTAAACTTTTTTAATTTATTAGTATTTTTAATAAATAATTCATAAGTATCCACTTTCACCTAAATATGCTAACATGATTTTTAAAAAAAATCACCGAACATTTTAAATAGACTAATATATTACTTTGCAACTCTACTTAACAAGTGAATAAACACTCAGCTTTTAAAGTTATTTTGATAATGCTTACAAAAGAGTAAATTCTGTTCTTGCTAGTGTGTAATATGAAAATGTCATACTTCAGCATTATAGACATTGAAGTCATTATTTAGTTGTTACAATTTATAGCATTAATATAAATTAATTTTACAAAATAAATTTTTTTTTCCTTTATTAAGTCAGCACATAGTTTAAAACAAAAGTGCTTTAAATAAGCTTTGATAAAATTAATCATACAGATTGAAATCCTACAGCAAAAATAAAAATATATAGATATGGTCATGGAAGTAGAAAATATATAAAAACATTAAAAAAACTTCAAAATATGGCAAATGTCCATATGCCGAAAAAAAAACAAAGGTTCATCTTCTGCCCAGTTCCTAGTTGATATGATTTATTCTTAATGTTTAATTCTTTAGTAATATTTTATAAGAAAAATTTGGAAATTTTGTTACTTATTCAACTTATACATTAATTTGTATTACTTACCTAAATGTTCACTATTTGTTTAATATATAAAATTTTCTATGAGTTGTAATTTTTAATGTTTACAAAAAGTTATATTTGAAAAAAAAATTTTTTTTTAATGTTCAGAATTGTTAAAAAGGTTTTCTCACCAAATAGTTTCAAAAAAATAAGCTGACTCAATCGCTTAAAAAATAAGTTTTACAATAAATTGAAAATTTTTGAATCAGCATAAAAAAAATTATTCAAATAGTAATTGTACCAATTTGCAAAGAACGTGACAAAAACTTTCTTTATTAGTATAGATTATCTATCATAAGCAAGCAACATAAAAAAATGTATGAATTTTTTTCCAACTTTGACCATTCAGAAAAACAAATTAATTCTGATTGCTTTCTAAATTGATTGTCCTATGTTTAAATAGTAAACTTAAGCTTTCTATATATCAATCTTTTAACTCAATTTTCTTCCTCTTATATAGATTTTTGTTATAAAAAATATTGTTCATAGGTTTAACATGTGTCTTCTCTATGGAATGTTGAGTATACAAAAACTGTTATTTAACTCAATATTTTTCCCAGCTTCTAAATATCAGTCAATATTCAAAGCTTTCCCAAATTTTAACATAGTTCAGTCTGCTGTATTTGAAGATGTAAGTATTCAATCCAATAATACCATTGTTTTACTGTCCTTAATTTCATTGGTGTTTATCTGATACTTTAAAAAAAAATCCCCAAAACAATTTAATAAATGTAAATATGAATAATAGCAGAATTTTATTGAACCTCAAATTGTTTTCTATTTCCTTAATTGAGTTCATGTGAAACCAATATTTTCATAGAATAGGGATAAAAGATAGTTATTTAGAAAAATTTGTTGCCCCTTCGACTTGCCTATTACGATCCTTTGGTAAAAATGAAAAGTACCTTATGATCGCAATACTGTAAATATATATGCTCGAGATAAAGCAAGTCATTTAAATAAGTCAGACTTTAGTATTACAAAAAAGATAGATACAAATAAAATTAGGATATTTTGTACTGGGGGTTTCCAGTATTTTTGCATTTTCTGTTTGTGATAGCATTTTAAAAATAATAATTTTATCCATTTAGTATAAAAGTGGAAAAACAATAAGATTAAATTATCATAATGAAATATTTATGACATATATTTTGCAGTTTGACAAGAGTATTCGATCATGATTTGCCGTCTGTTACTCTTTTCTTTTCCAATTACCTTCTTAAAATTTACATAGATTTACATGCTTTATTATGTTATATGCCAACCATAGAATTCAATAAAGCACCATTCATTACAGGAATAATATATTCATTAGATTGAAATTTTTCAATCTTTTTTTACTTGCAATTTCGAAAAAATTGTTCTTAAAACTTATCAACAGAAAGTCCTTGGTTATTAAATTAGAAGAAAATAAATACTCAAGAACTTCTGAAACTAAAATTCATTAGGAAGTATATTTTGTATGAAGAATAAAATGTGTGAAAATATGCTTTAACTTTATATCATTATAGCAAATGTATAAATAATTCTGTCTTTTGGATGTATGTTTTCGTAGACCTTGCTTTCCATTAACTGAGCTCAATTTTAGTTGGGATGATTTATTTTTAATGAATAATTACTGCTTTTAAATCTGAAATATTTATACTACAGAGGGAAGTATTTCTGATTACAGCACCATCTTTATAAAATTATGAGAAATTAAATATGTGATATTTTTCTCTAGGTGTTTTATACTGACAAGTCATTAGCAGTCTGCGCTCCCACAGGGTCAGGAAAGACAGTCATTTTTGAATTGGGTATCATTAGACTTCTGATGCTTATTTCTGACATTGGCCAGATTTCTTCTAGATACAAAATTATTTATAGTAAGGATAATATTTTCAAACTAATTTTAATAATATTTTCTTTTATTTTAAATATTGTTGATAATTACTTAAATCTATGTGTATAATTTAGGATAATTTTTTATGCATGCCTTTTTATTATTTCATATTTTTATTGGTAATTACTTACGTATGGGATTTCTACAAATGCTAAAAAGTTGTAAGCGGTATTCAATACTTCAGTAAAATTTAATATAAAATTCAAAGACTTCTTTTCGTACCTTAACATGCTGATTCTTGGAAATTAGTTCTAGCTTCCTAAAAATTTACATTTTTGTACAGGGCTCGAAAAAACTCAGAAATTTTACCCATCCCCGAGGGCGGCTAGTCCAACAATGTACCCGTCCTCCTTTGAAATTAACCCGTAACTTCTAAATAAATAAAAATATAATTTTTTCTTATTTATTGCAAACGTTTATATAAATTGAACAATGAATTAGTAGTTACTAGTTTTACAAATACCAGGATTACATTATACAGTAATAAAAAAAAGTATTTCTTTTATAAAATAATTTAAATTAAAAAGGTCAAGTTATCTGGAATGTCAATTTATCCGAGGGTACTGAGTTTTTTAAATGAATCAAATATGACGTTTGCCAGTTCCACAATCAAGCCAATAATTTACAGAGGTTTCTGCACAGAAATCTGAAAGGGGTTTTCCATTTAGGTAGATGTTCATAATTGCGTTTAACGCTTCTCGTTTAAGACCAGTACGTAATGTGTTTCTTGTAAGTTCATTGCTGAAAAGCCTCTTTCAACCGCTGCAGTACTCCCAGGCAGAGAAAACATCCATGCCCACCATGCTCAGTGTGTTGCTGTATTTCTAGATTAGAGGGTCATTTTAGAAGTGAGGCGCCAGACTCTTATAAGATAACAAAAATTTAAAATGTATCACGAACATTAACAGGAAAATGGCCGTCCGCGCGGACGTCGGATTCGAGAACTTTGTTGTCCGCGGGGAATTTTTGACCGCCGAGGACGGGTGGTTTTTCGAGCCCTGTTTTTGTATACCCCTGCTTATGTATAACATCTGTGAAAATCAGAATAATTTTGTTTTGTCCTAGTTCTGGTAACCTTCCAGCATGGCAGTGGGTGCTATCACAGCTTCTCTAAATTAATTTTAAAGTTAGAGAAAGGGCAAAAAAAAAATTTGCAGTGGGTGGATGTATGAAAAAATTTAGAAGTAAAAGAAATATTTTTCTATCATCCATCATAAAAGATATAAAAATTTTCCCTTTTTAAAATCTTTTTCAAGAAAGGAATTTGCATAAGAGCTGCAGATAAAGATTCTTTTCCAATATTGCACATGCAAAGTTATTATTATTATTATTTAAAAGCATTTATAATTTGTAACTTTAAAATTTCACATACACAAAGTTGTTCTATTCAGTATAGATTTATGATTATGTGATTTTTACCAGTGACAACTAATACATGTGACAAACATGATTTGACCCCAAATAGTAAAGCATTACATAAATTTTTGTACATTGCTAAAAATTGGAGTATTGTGAACAAAAATTCTTTGATTATTCTTTATACTTATTTAAAATTTTTATTTAAGTCAATATGTTTTGTAAAAACTTTTACGTCAAATTAAAATGTAATACATTTTTTTTCTAATTTGTCGGTACTTTAAAAAAAAAACTTTTTTTCCATCCTTTTAGTGGCACCTGTAAAGTCATTGTGCAATGAACGATATGAAGATTGGAATGCAAAATTTTCTCCACTAGGTGCTCTGTGTATCCAGCTGACAGGCGACACTGATCTGGAAAACTATTTTGAACTCCAAAAATATTCCATCATACTCACCACCCCTGTGAATATAATGTCTTTTTTTTTCTTACAATACACTTAAAATAATTTCTGAAGACATTATCTTTTGAATTTATTTGGATGATTTTAATTTTTGTCTTGTTGTTCTGCTGATTAAAGTTTCTGATAATTTTGTTAAACTTAAACTATCTACGGAATTTATAAATTTAAAAAAAAAAATATTAGTCAAATTAAGTTTTATAACTGTTTTAGTGTTGTACTTTTGAAATTTTTTCCTTCCTTTACAACTAACAAAGAACTGCTGTGAATGGTGGTTTCAAAGTGTTATTGTATCACTCAATTTCTGCAAAAAACTATTTTAAATGACTTTAGATTGAACAATTGCTGATGAACAGTGGCGTAGCTGTCTTGTGGGCCCTGAGGTTCTATAATGTAGCCACTTAAAATTAATACTAAGTAGTTTTTGTTGCAAGAATATTCATAAAAATTACTATTCTTGAACATATTATATATAGAGCTCAATAGCCAAGAATTGATAAAAACATAGATGTAAAATATAACAAGACCATTTTAAATAGTTAAATTAACACTATTTTTGGTTATAGGAATATTAAAGGGAAAAAAATGCAGTATAAGATATACATATCGCAAAATAATCACTTGAAAGGTTTCTTTCTCAATTTAATAACTGCAAATATGCCAATTAGGTTTAGGTTTAGAAATTTCCTTGCTTGCTCTCTCAATTGAAAGCTGTGCCAAGTCACTATAACTTTCTTGGCTTCTAAGGGTTAATTCCAACTATGAATAAATCAATTTCAACTTGAAAAGATCTTTAGCCACTCTTTCTGGAAATGTAAGAAATATAAAGTAGACGAAGTATTAATTAGAAATCTGCTAGATTTTTAACCATACATTTTTTTTTTATTTTATTTTACATTTAAATAGTTTTAATTGAAGAAATAAATTTTACTTTTTATTTGTGTTTTATTTTTAAAAACATTTTAGGCCTTGCTTCTTTTTTTCTGAAGAGTTCTAACATAAAAAGACTAACAAAACTATAGTAGGGAATCAGAGAAACGTGATCAAGCACAAAATGCACTAATGAAAAATAAAACTAAACTACGGGTCTAGTGCTATGATTATCAGTTAAACTTGTTCTTAATGCATAATTGGAAATATTTATCAGTCAATGAATCTTTTTTCTGTTAGCCATTTTGAGTCTCCACTTAGCCTGTCACAAAAAAAAAAAAAAAAAAAATTTTTTTTATTTTTTAAAAATTGTTCTATTATATAAAAGTTTTGTAATTCATATCGTACATTATCTTTAGTCTGTCCTTGGTATATTTGTGAACCATTAGTTGACTTGTAACATAATACCTACCAGCAAATGTTTTACTTTATCTTCAAGACTTTTATTCAGTCTATCAATCCTTTTCTAAAACTAGCTAGTAGCAGGGCTTAAAAGTTTATAGGAAACAATTAGCAATACCGTTTTGTAAAAAATTAAGGATGTTAGGGTGTATGCTTCTGAACTCTCACACTATTGACAAAATTAGTGGCCTTCTTAGGAAAGGTCTTAGACTCCTATTCTGTAAGTGTGATTATCCTCTAATTTGATTATGTACAATTATTAAATGCTTGTCTCTATGCTTTTCTCCTGCCATTTTATGTTTAAAAAATTAATAATAAAAATGAAAGTTTTTCTAAATAAATTTTGAAAAATGTAAATAATACAAAAAAATAATTTTTATAAGTATAATTTTTTGTTAACTTTTGTATCTTTGGCAATGGGGCACTGCCTCGTTTATACCAATGATAGCTACACCCCTGCTATTGAAAAATATTTCACTTCAAAATTGAGACCTAACTACCTTCTTCTTTACAACTCTTATGTATCTATTTTAAGAATAAATACAATTCACTAAATCCATTTATAATGATTTATATTACTCAGGAAAAATGGGATAGTGTTACCAGAGTTTGGAAAAATAACAGAAACCTAGTTCAAACTGTTAAACTTCTGCTAATTGATGAGGTATGTATGTATACATTTGCATGTATAATGTATTAGTATGTTGCAACTTTTAATGTTGTAACATAGTTTCATACATTGTGTTATGATTTGATTTTTAATATTTCTATTATAATTTTGTTTATTAAATATAGCTAATTATAAATTAAAAGTTCATCTTTAAAAAATTTTAAAAAAAATTCTTTAATTTTAAAAAAATTTATTTTAATCAAGTTAATTAGATTTTTTAATTTTTTTAAAGAAAGTTTGAAAAATCAAAAAAAATTTTACTAACTTAAAACTTGTATTAATTTTCCTACTTGATAAAAGCTGATTTTCTCAATATTAATTTATTGTAACTCGCTTGTCAGTAATTCCAGCTAGACATTGGAAACTACGGATCCTTAAGACCCTAGACTTGCAAATGTAAAAGAATTTAAAAATGAGCAATTATCATTTATAAAACGTTCTGAATCTTCAAAAATTAAAAATTTATGTGAATTAAATAAAATAAATTTTCTCTTCTGATGACGTTTCAAAAGTTAAAGCAGAACATAGGAAAAGGAGGTGAATGAAAGTCTCCATGATGAAAAAGATAAAAAATGATGTGTGACAAAAAATGTATCTTTTAGGCAATCAATAAAATCGCTACCTTTTTATCTCCTATTAATATGTGCATTTGTAAAGCTTCACTTATTGATAGAACTGATTTCAAAACATAAAAAGAGTTATATCTGAAATCAGAGTTTTTAATTAGATTGATTAGACTTTATATCAAGCAAAAACAGCAATGTTATTTAATACTCGGAATTATTTTCTCACCTACTGCTATAAATAAAAGAAAAGGAATTATAGTGTTTTTTTTTTCCATTAAAGTTTGGTTAAATTTTGCCGGCATAAATCTGCTCTCTGCATAATTAATCATTCAACATAAATTAATTTTTGCTTTGGAGAATATCCCTTCTACAATTTTTTGTGTATTTGATGCACTACAAAGTGTAAATGGGTTTCCTATTCGTACTATAAAAAACTTAATTTTAAGTACTATGTAAATGCAAAAAGACTCATAGTAAGTAGATCTACAATTATTTTTGTGCTGAAAGAAATAGTATAAGAGTGAAAAATTGTTGTCATTTTTCAGATAATATAAGGATAATAATTTAACTAACAATATTCTCAATAAATGTGAGTTGATAGCTATTATTGTTAGATTTAAATATTAGGCTTTACTCTAGTCACTTCTTTACTGACTTAATCCTGTTTCTTCTCATAAATGTATAAAATTTCTTAATAACTCATCCTAATTGAGAATTATGCAACAATTAATGTATGACAGTAATATGTTTATGCTTTGTAATGTTTATGGTTTCTTAAAATTTCTTCCTCTGAAACATTATTTAATTTAACTTATCTTACTTCAGCCATTTTTTGCCAATTACTTTGAAATGTGCTTTAAAAAAGATTTAAAATAGATCTTTTCATTCATTTCATTTTCCCTACAAAAAAGTTTTAAACCATTTGTTTTCTTATATCAGTTGCAAATTCACTAGATAGTTTTATTAATGAACTAATAACAAGTGTTGTTGTAGGTTCATTTACTGAATGAAGAAGAGAGAGGTGCCACTTTGGAAGCAGCTCTAAGCCGCATGAAAGCAATTCAAACACTTCTGATGAGGGAATCTTCAGAGAAGGCAAAAGCAGAACCTAATCTTAGATTTATTGCTGTATCTGCTACCCTCCCGAATGCAGAGGATGTAAGTTGTAATCACTGTGTCTCTTTTATAATGAAAAGGGTTTTGAAATATCGTATTCAAAATAAATTCTGCAATACAAATATGTACCTAAATATTTTCAGATCATAGATTCCCTATCTATTTTGGATCATAATCCACTTTGCTAGTCAAAAAAATTATTAATGCCCCCTTATTTTTAAAAAAAAACAAAACATTCATAAATAAGTATTGTTTAAAAAAAATCTGCTATGTCTTTTTATATTTTTAATTATGTTACTGAATATATATCTAATGACCAATCTATCTGTGTTAGAAACATATTTTATACTAATTTTGATAAAAATAACCCATGTATAAAATGTTATTTTCTTGCATAAGTATAAATTCAACAAGTAACTTTGCAGTTTGAATTTAATACTCAAATAAATATATTTTTTTAAAACTTCGTTCGAAAAACCTATCTTATATCAGATCAACTTGCCATAGATCATCTGTGTTTTTTAGCATTGCTAATACAGAGTGAATTATATTTCAAAATCTAAAAAGGTAGCAAGCTATATTTTAAAATTTAACAATAGGATATCCAAAGTTAATTATATCATAACATTTTGAATTTTTAAAAAGCCCATAAATTATGCAAATAAATTAACTTAATAATATAATCAAAATTTCTATATACGATTTAAAAATAAGAGAAAAATATATGTACTCTGAAGTTCTCAAATAATAAATTTCTGACTTTACGACTTACTTATTTAAGTTAAAGCAGCTTTTTTAGGTGAAATTTTGGATATCTGTAGGGGCACAAATTCAAATTCATGGCACTCATACAAACTTAAAGTGGGTATTACTCTTATCATCGTTAAAAGCATTTTTATTTTAAAGATAAACAGTTTCAAAAACTAATAATACTAAAATTATTATACATTATACTGAGTTAGAAAGATAAATAAATTTTCAATGCCAAACCAGTCATTTTATAAGTTTTTATGTATACTTATACCATTCATAGTTTGTTTTTGATCATAAAATACTTCATATTCTAAAAAAAAAATTGTAATCTTGCTAGCGCCTTTCTAAAAGTCTTCCCTTTCTCACTGGAGGCGTTAGCACCCGCATTGGCCATGTTAGATTGCGTGTAGTGTGATAAAAAATAATTAGTATCTTTATTGTAAGAGAGATAAGAACTTAAAATGTAATTTAATTTTTTTTCAAACAAGAGTATTTCAAATTATTTGCTTTAAAGTTTCAACATTTTTGTAACAAAGGAAAGTAAGTCTTTCTCATATGAGTAATTAAGTTAAATACACTTCAAATATATGCTAATTGTGGAACATTTTTAAGCTGCGTGCAATTTTAGAGTTGAATGTTTTTTCCTCCTTTTTTTTGGTAGATTTGAATGTGCAGTAATCACTCCAAGTGGTAAAATAATAAAAGAAAAAGTTATATATCCTTTTTATATCCTTTTAATTCATTAAAATGTTCGAAGAGGATTTCAAAGAAAGAAAACATTCTGGAATATATGAAAGGATTCAAACAATATTCAAGATTTTTACTTGTACAAATTTATTAATCATGTGAATTATGTGTGATCTTTGTTAACTTATTTCACATCTTTAGGTTTGTGAATGGTTGAGTCTTCCCAACAGAAAAGGAGAATATTACAAGTAATGTTTTCATGCATTTACTTTAAATTTGAATACTGCTCATTGTATAACTAAATGTTATTTATACTTTATTAAAACTATGAGAAAAATATAAAAATCTGTTTAGAAAGATTGTGCAGTAAAAATGTTTTTTACAAATCATTATTATAAATGTTGATGGTAGTTATGCTTCAAATGTTGATAAACGTTTAAAATTTGTTCAGTCAACCCTCAATATAGCCTCCCATGGTGAGCCTAACGGCAAGAAAAATCTATGATTCATCTACCACTATATTTACGTCAGCACTTAGCAATATTTTACCTTATCACTGTGGTTACATCAGTAAAATTCGTATCAATCAGTCCAAGCCGGGATTTGAACCTGTGATGCCTTATTGGGAGGCAAACGCTCTATCCCCTGAGTCACCACGGCTCTCAGTAACTGTGTCCGAATGAACAGTTCAGGTTAGATGGTCTTATTAGGGTTTAGATCAGAGGTGTCAAACTCAATTTTGCAGAGGGCCATATATTAAATTTAGAATATGTAGGCGGGCCAGATGCAAATAAAAAAAAATGTACTGAATTATTATAAAATTTGATTTATCTAATTATATAGTTTATAATATATGGTTGTTAAAAATCATATCAAAGTTATAAAAGATGGTAATTATTTTGAGCTCGAGGATCCAGATACCTTACTTCTCTTGTTTTTGACAAGCTCATTGATGTCCGGTTTCATATTTGATATAATTATTTTAAGAATTGATTGGAGATGTTCATTCCTAAGTCTTGCGCGATGTTTGTTCTTATTTATTTTCATGACGGAAAACATCTGCTCGCATAAATAGGTGCTACTAAACATGCACAGAATGCGTGCTGTATGCTTTTTTAATTCCGGGTAGTTATCCAAACTCTTGAAATATTTTGTATAAAATGTAAGAGCGTTAACCTCTTTAAATTTTTCTTTCAAAATACTGTCCCATTGAAGATTTATCAACTCCATTTGCAAATGAACTGGTGCCTGTGAAGCTTCAAAATTGAATGGATTGTTGAAAATTGGGAATTCCGTTTCATTCATTTTGTGGAAGTCTTCAAAACGATTGTTGAATTCCGTGATCAGATTTTGCAGAAGTTGAGAATATTGATCCAATTTTTTTTAGTTCACTGTGCCAAATGATTTTAAATGAGGGAAATGATCCAAAGTTTGATTTTTTACCTGATTTTTCCACAGCCTCAACTTTGTTTCAAAGGCTAGAATACATGAATACATTTGAGTGACAATCAGATTTTTACCCTGTAACTTTACATTCAGCTCAGTCAAGTGTTAATTCATATCTACCAAAAAGGCACAATCAATCCACCAGTCATTATTGTCATAATCAATTGAGATGCCATTTTCTAACATGAAAGCTTGAATGGGATCACGTAATGGAAAAAATCTTTCTAAAACTACTCCTCGACTGAGCCAACGAAATTCAGTGAAATAAGGGACATCAAAAACATTTTCGTCCAAATCTTGTAAAAACTGCCTGAACTGTCGGCGATTTAGTCCTCTGCTCCTTATAAAATTTACTATTTTAATTATAAGTTTCATGACGTGGTCCATTTTTAAAGGTTTGGATGCCAATGATTCCTGATGAATTATACAGGGAAATCCCACAAAATTCCCTGATGTTTTCTGTTTCAATTTAGTTACAACAGCCGAATGTTTGCCAGCCATGGCAGGAGCGCCATCCGTAGTTGTGCTGCTAAGTATATTCCATTCGAAGATTCCGCTTGTTGCTAAGAGATGGCGTTACTGTCTATCTCTCTCGCTTGTCTAGGCATGCACTGCCCTTGAAATTACTTATAAATGCAGGGTGCACATTTTAAAACTTCCGTAGAGGAATCGAGTGAAGTCTATAAAAGCTCTAAAAAAACACAATTCTTCTTTCTGTGACGCATTGCGATCGCGGACCGTATCTTTGACATGACTGGTTTAGATATTACTGGTTCTATGGAATAGCAAACATGATTTCATGTATTGGCTATTATAACCAATGGGTTGAAGTAAGAGGAATATGGGCTGCAAATTGAAAAGCAAAGAAAGAATACCTTTTTCTGAGAGAGACAAGGGCTCCGGCAGAATAATATAAAAGGGGGTGCAACCGTCTAACAAACTAAACCCCCCCCCCATTTTTCTTTTTTTTTAAAATATTCTGTTATTACGCTTTTTTTTTGTTATTACATATACTTTCATCTATTAATTTTTTTTCAAGATTCAGGTATAGAACAAAATAATAGGAACACCTGTGAAAAAATGAAAATATTTTATTAATAAGGAGTTTGGCCTGAATGACAGCTTGCATTCCACGTGGGATTGACAAATAAAGGTCTTGAGCAAAAGTTCATTGGAATTTGCAGCCATTTCTCTTGCAGGGCTGTCTCGAGTTGAGAGAGTGTGCGTGGAGGAGGAAACCGAGCATAGACTTTTTTTCTCCAAAAAAACCCGCAAAGGCTCAATGATATTGAAATCAGGGGACTGAGGACACCACGTTAGATGGTCCACTTCATAATTATGCTCATTTAACGATGTTTGAACACAGCGAGACATGTGAACAGGGGCGTTGTCATCTTGGAACACAGGAAGCTCTCCCGGAAAGAGAGTATGAAGCATATGGTGAAGATGATCTGCAAGAATGCTTCGGTAATGGTCCCCTTTGACCACCCCCTAGAGACAACGAGAGACCCCTATCCACAGGCAGAAATAGTGCCCCACACCATCACTGAACCACCTCCATGTTTCACGGTTGGAACCAGGCAGTCAACATGAAATGCTTCTGCCGGCATTCGTCACACGAACACACGTCCGGTGGTCTGGAATAGTGCAAAAGAGGATTCATCAGACCAGATGACTTGTTGCCATTGCAGTTGTGTACATTGTAGGTGGTCTTGGCACCACTGTAGTCTCTTCAAAGAATTCCGCGCTGAAACTAACAGCTTTGGAATAGCTACTCTGCCATGATTGTTAGCAGCATGCAACTCCCGTTGAATAGTTTTCATGGATACAGGGTTCTGAAGGTGGGTATTCATCTCGGATGTTATTACCGGTAGTGTTGTCTTGCGTTTTCGAGTGACTATCCTCTTCAACACCCGTCTATCACGGTCTGATAACTTCAACTTCCTGCCGCTGTTGTGCCTCGCCGAAGACACCTTACCCAACTTTGTGTATGCCGACAGAGTCCTTGATTCAGTGGTCTTTGAAACACCTACAAGGTTCGCTGTTCTGGACACGGACGCTCCAGCCAGGCGAGCTCCGACTATCATGCCTCTTTTTAGGTCAGACATAATATCGTTTTGCTAGAAATAGATTTTTCTCTTGCAAATCTCACACTGCCAAATGCTAGACAGATACCTTGCCTTTCATCACCACTAGGTGGCACATTCTTGCGACCCCCGCTTATTGGACGGTCGAGAACGACTCCATTCTTTCAGAGATGCTCCTATTATTTTTTCCTATACCTGTGCATTTCTTCATTGCTAACAAGATATTTTAAAAAAATTACGAATTTACGTGATCTGAAATGTGGATGAATAGAGAAAATTCTTATGAATCCCTCGAATACATCGATTTAGATATTGAGGCCACACCGTTTTATCCTGCTGTAGCGGACGCAATCAAAATTGGCCTAACTCTTCAAGCTACTACGTGCACTATTGAATGCACATATAGTACAATGCGATGCATGGAATCGGTACTACAATGTCTCACGAGAGATTAAACAGTTTGTGCATGCTCAGTGTGCATAAGAAAAAAATCAAAGATGACTCAGAATTCATTGAAAATATTATAAACAGATTTGGACAGCTAACAAGACTATTACAATTCTTGTTTGATTAAACAATTTTTAATTGTTATGTATCAATAATTGCTTAACTATTTGCTTTTGAATAAAAATATTTTTAATAAAAAATTTTTCATACTCTTTAATTGTTTAAAAAAAAGCCAGAGGGGTGCAAGTGCACCCCCTTGCACCCCGCTGCCGGCGCCCTTGGAAAGAGATATTATAATAAATATTGCTTTTAAACTGTTTATGGCCTTCGAATGAGTGTTGACTTGTCTTATACAGGGATGAGATTTTTCCGCTTTTTAGCGGATTTCCGCTTTTTTCGCGTTTGTCTCTCGAGTTTCAGCCTTATTATCCAAAAACTCCGATTCTCTAAAATTTTCGAGTTTTCTTATAAATATTCCGCTTTCTCTGAAAATTCAGTCGTTAAAATAAAATAATTATTTGTTTCTGATTTTCAAATATAAACAGAAAATTCAAACTACGTTGCTGCCAACCCTTCCGCATTTTTACTTATTTTAGCGGTTTTCTCCGCTTTTACGTGCGGACAAAAAGATTTTCTGCATTTTTACCCGTTCGCTTGATAGCTCGTATTTTCGTAATCCAGACGTCGCTGCATTTTAATATCAAACATCGATTTTCATATTAACCTGATTTAAAAGTTGCGATTCTACGCGATTTCAATATCGTACATTGCAATTCTCATTTACGAGATTTAAAAATCCATTATCGCGATTTGTATTTACGCTTTTTTTAAAATCTATGTAGCTATTCGTATTCACTCGAGTTTAAAATCCAATGTCGTGATTCGTTTTTGCGGTTGTAACATCAAACATCGATTTTCGTATTTACACGTGATTTAAAAATTAGGCTTTGGATTCGTATTCACGCGATTTAGAAATTATGCATCGTGATTCGTATTTACGCGATCTGAAAATTACGCATCATGATTTGTATTTTTACATTTTTGAAATCCAATTTTGAGTTTCAAATTCACGTGATTTCAAAGTTCAATATCGTGATTCATATTCTTGCGATTTTAAAATCCAAGATCGCTATTTGTATTCTCTTGATTTTAAAATCCAAGATCGCGATTCTTGTAAGAAGTAAATTTTTTTTCTTGAATTAGTTACTATAAGGCATTTTTTCTATCAAGGATTATTGGTATATATAGGCATTACAACATCAGCGAAACTGGATGAGAATATGTTACTGATATTTTTGCTATAAATCACGTAAGATTTACTCGCGTCAAAATTCAGCTTTTTTGCCTTTTGGCCAATCTCATCCCTGCTTATAATGATAGTAGAAAATTAAGTATGTAAAAACATGTTAAAAATAGAATATTTATTTTTAAAAAAATTAACAAGCACTGTCCTACTTTTTTTCAAAGTATATACGAAGAATGTATTTAAGCATACATCACAGCTGTTTTCAAAGTAAATAATTTATCAAAAAGAGATTGGGAATTTTACTCTTTTGAAACTTCATTTTAACATAATTTCAATGAAATGTGTCTATAAAACAATCACTTTATGCCGATACACTTTCATACTGACACCAAGTTTTTCTATAATAATATTTCTTGATTATCTTGCTCAAATTCAAGTATGTTTGTCTAGCAAAAAACTTCAGCCTGCCAAAAAAAACATTTTTTTCTGAGATTAGGCAATACGACTAGTTTGACTTATTTAACAAATTAAATTCTACTGTTTTTATAAAAATAAGAAAAATAAAAAGATTTTAAGATCTCTTTAACTTATGATAGGAAATTAAGATTTATTCTACTTATGATAGGAAAAATTACTTACTCAAACACACATCTCTTTGCTGCAACTCAGCATAATTACTTGTTCAATATTTTAAATTTGTATTATTTTTCAAACAGAGTGAATTAAGAAAGAGTTAATAAAAATGTAACAGATAAAAAAAAATAATTCCAAATTATTACATATCTATTAGAAATATGTGCAGTACACCAACTTCATGAGAAAATGCACTGTAATAAACTGCCACACTTCATGCAATTTTTTAACTTTCTTGTAAAATATAATTCATTTCTTTTTAATATTTGAAGTATTGATAGTTCTGTTTGAAAGTAGATGAGTAATAAAGCAAGTTAATGTGCTAACACTTGAGTAGCTTTAAGTATCTTGAAATATTTTTCACCTATAAAAAATTTTGTTTAGAATCTCTGCACAATTGCATAAAATATACCAAACATTATTTTGTTTATTTTTTATCAATATTTTTATATTACACTGAGTAATGAACTATATAGATTTAAAATTGTGTTTTATGCAAAGATGTTTTTATTGCATGAAACACAATGTTAAATGTATTTTCTACAATATGTTAAGTAAAATGAAAATGTAATTTTTAAATATGAACAAACATATTTTCAGCTTTCACGAAGATCTGAGGCCTGTGCAATTGAAAAAAGTTGTCGTCGGTTATCCGTGCAGCGATACTCAATCTGAGTTCCGCTTTGATCTCATGCTGTCCTACAAGTTGAACAACGTTATTCAGACTTACTCTGAAGCAAAGCCAACTTTAGTGGTAATTTCTTCTTTAACATTTTATGGTGTGCTATTTCCATAAGCATTCCTATTCAATCAAAGATGCATCTACTGAATGAGTACAATGAGAAATTCTATGTTGCATTAGAAAATCATATTTCTTTTTTGGATTATTCTACATTTTATTCTATATAAAATTTCTATTAATAAGTTTGTGTGTTTATATATTAATTTGAAACTTATTTTATAACTGCAGAGTTCTCCTTAGGAATTAAAAAAAGTTAGAGGATTAATAATACCTTATGTGTTTAAAAAATTAATTTGTTTTAAACATTAAAGTAATAAATACACAAGTGGGCGACCTTTGTGCTAAAATACAAACTAAGGTAGACAACGTTAAAGAGCACAAAAATATTATTAAAAGCAGACAGCTGTTTCGGATGCTCAAAGGGCATCCAAAACAGCTATATTCTCTATATTCTATTATTCTCTATAGAATTTAAACGCTCATCTATTGCCCAACATTGTTGGGACACTAATCATAATTTTGATTTTTCTTCTTCTAAAGTTATTCAAAATTGTTCTTCAATTTTTGATTTAGATTTTTATGAGTCCTATAATATTTTCAAAAATTCCAAACTGTTGGTCAATGACCTATCCAGCGTTCCTTATCTTTCTCCTGTTTGGAAATCTATGATTAAACCTAACTAACCCCCCCCCCACACACACCTTTTTGTTCCTTGCTTCCCATTCGTCGTCATCCTTTCACCCTTCCCTCCTATTGGCCGTTGCTCTAATCCCCTTGTGACGTCACCTTTCTCTATATATTTACCCTATTTTCTCTCATTTCTTTCTGTTGCACTGATGAAGGTTGCCCTTTGAGCATCCGAAACAGCTGTCTGCTTTTAATAATATTTTTGTGCTCTTTAACGTTGTCTACCTTAGTTTGTATTAAAGTAATAGCCTGTTTGTTTATATATTTACATTTGGACTTTCTTGAAACTGAAATTAAAACCCTTTTTTTTTTTTAATTTAATATTCTTCCATTCAGTCCCACATAAAAGTTGTCATTGCATCAGTTGCCAAAAAAATTGTAATTGATAAAACAAATTATGTTTATATTGTTCTTTTGCTTTATTTACTTTTGACAAAATATTAAGGATTGGTTTGTTAAGCCATGCATTTTTTATGTAAAGAATTTTTTGTTGCTCATTGAAATGTTAGAATCTTTCAGTTCTTACTTCATGAAACATTACAAAATCAAAATATGTAAATTTTACAAGACAATGAAAACACCTGAATAACTTTTTATCTAATAATTGAAATATCAAATGATAATAAGAAAATTTTTAGTTTGAGGTGTAGACCTATAAGCAATAGATTTTCATAATCGTCAAACTCAGTTCTTTTATTCTCAACATATGAAAGACAAAAGCAATATCTAGAAAAAAAGGCCCCAATAGTTAGAGCACGAAATTGGTTCTATAGTTCCTGAGCAATAAATATTTTTTAAATAAGTCACATTTTAATTTTTAGAGAACTATTTGTCTCACCGTGTTCAAATTTTGATTTTGTCATTTAAAATAACATAATTTAGAGTGATTTTTAAAAGATGGCACTGTTTTAAGAGAGATGTTGCTGTTTTGGAAAGATGGTAAGTTTGAATATTTTTAGTTAAATCGAAAAAACTTTGGTTTTTAACTTCAATTATAAATATGAGCATTTGTTTTGCTAGTATTAATTATGGGAAACATTTTAAAATTTCAAACAAGTTTTAAGGCCTAAAAATTAACCATAGGTGGTCACAAGGTACATTTTTTACCGTTTTTAAAACTATTCAAAAATTAAAATTTTCTTATTTTTGTAAAAATACACATTTTCATAGTGTTTATACCTATTTAAAAATTGGAATTCTAAGATAATTTTTAATCTAGCCAAGTTATGTTGAAAATGATCAATTATGTTACTGTTCCACTAATCTTAATGCTTCTGAAGCTTTGACTTTTCCTTCAATTGCCTACCAGAAAAGAGAACTCATCTGATTTGTCGCACAATGCCCTTCTTTTACCCTCAAAATTTGTGAATGGGAGGAAACACGTGACTGTTGACACTCTGATGTTTGGAAGGAAGAGAGATGAGGAAATGTAACAGTAGGCTTGCTCTATTTAGTTATTATTTCTCAGTTCAATGACAAGTAGTGCCTATTACCAAAATTAATGAAGCATCTTTGGTGTCAATAATAACATGGCGATTTTTTTTACATTTTTCTTAAGCGAATTAGTGCCATTTCTCTATTAATTTTGCTTCATAGTATATAATTTATATAGAGTGTGTAATTTTTTTTTTTGTTTCAGTCACAGTAATTATTACCCAAATCAATTAAGCATCATTGGAGGCAATAGTAGTTTTGACATTTTTATGCAGTTCTTAAATGGATTAGTACCTTTTCTACAACAATATTGCTTTTCACAAAGCTTATTTTCAATTTCAATCAGTAATTATTACCAAAATTAAACATCCTCATCATCAATAATAATATGCCATATTTTTATATTTTTCCTATCTCTAATATTTTGTACTATCTCTCTATTAGTTTTATATTTTAACACAGATATTTTTTTAATTAAATTATTGCCAAGTAAAAAATTTAAGCAAGCATCATTTGCATCAATAAAGGTATGACGATTATTTACGTTTCTCTGATTACATATTAGTATTGTGTTGTATTAGTACTATGTGCTTCGTCGATTTTGCTTTTCAATGCATAACTTAGTATTTTTTTCATTTTTATGCTGCTTTTAAATGCTTAGTTTTAAAGTATTTAGTTTTATCTAAACTTCTTTTTAATGCTTAACTATAAACTAAATAAGCATGTGGTTTCAAATAACTTTATAAATACAAATTTAATGATTTAATGTATTTAATGATCATGTTAATCATTGAGTTTAACTGACATAATGATTTAAAAATGATTAAATATTAAAAAACTTGTATAAAACTACCTTTTTAATTAGAGTTATTAGCTAGCAAATATCATTGATGTTATCTTTAAAATATTTGCTAAAAGGAAAATCATTTGTAGTGTCATATTTATCAATGGTGAGTTCCAAGCCAATGAAAAAATTCCATTTTTCGACAGCTCTACATAACAAAACTAATTGAAAATTTTGAACGAATTTTAGAATCGAAGGTAAAATTTACCTCTCCAAATTTCAGGATGATAAGACAAATGGTTCTGAAGTTATAAGAGAGACACATACACGTACAGACAGGCAGACAAACACTTCATTTTATTATAGATATTTAACTCAAACAATGATACACGAGAATAAAATATTTTCGTTTTTAACGCGGTTTTAAAGTCATTATCGTTCTTTAGTTTTCCAAAGAAACAGATTTCTATGAACTTTAAAACTTTTCTTTGAATAAGTTTAAGCAACAAATTATATTAACTTCGATTAGATTTGATAACTTACTTTTCTTTAAGAAAAATTTATTGCATCCCACATATGTTTGAATGTCTTAAGTGTGATTTTATGAATATGTCGGCTATTTGCATAATCATTTTCAAAACTTGTTTGCCACAAAAGAGAGGGGGGGACTACAATTTTTATACACAGTATAGCTACCTTAATTATGCTAATGTTAAGTTGTACTTTTTTTTCTTTTCATAGTTTTGTGCTACAAGAAAAAGTGTTGTGCAGACTGCTTTAATTTTGTCAAAGGCCACCAGTTTTGTGTTCAGCTCTTTGCATAAACAGAAATTGATTGAAGCTGCGGGAAACATCAATGACACTAAACTCAGAGGTATGCTTCTTCTTCACAGCACAATAGCTTCTATTTTCATGGAAAATTGCAATGGAAACCCTATTATAAAGAGATATTGAATTAATTGAATGTTTAAAAGAATGTTTATATATTATATTATATGATAAGTGCATAATATCTAATTATATAATTACATTATAATGATACATTTTGAGATAAAAAAATATTTAATCACCATTTTATAATTAATAAATGGTAAATAAGTCATATTTTTTATTTGAAAAGTTAGATTTACTTTTGTTATAAATTTTATACAAAACTATGTTAAATGAATGTATGTAATTAAAATAAGGATTACAAAATAACTATTAAAAATTCTAAAGCAATAGTAACCATTCCTAGGAATTCAGACATACCGGTACAAAAATAGTAAATTGGAACTCAACTTTACAAGGTGTTAACTGTTCAATGTCTTATAGAATTTTTATTATTACTACTGTGATACAACCAAAAGTACCATTTTTTATTTATGTGGTAGTTGTCCCCAGACATATAAAGCACATGAGGGAATTGTGCGATTAAAGCATTTTAATTTGTGCTGTTAATCTTTATGGGGCAAATGTTTAAGAAATACCTTTTAGCATTATTGGCTTAATATAACTTTTTACTGAAATATGCCCTTGCTAATAAAATTTTATAATTTTTATATTAATTAAAAATCAATTATTTAATTTGAAAAATATTCTAAAACAAGTTTATTGATGAAGTTAACTGAGAAAAATTAAAAGTTTAAAATTTTATCTTAATAGAATTGAAAGCTAAGTCTGTGAAACATTGTAACACAATAAAAAAATTTAAAAACTGTTAATTGAATAATTTTTAATTTTGATGCAACTGTTTAAAGAAATATGATTCTGAACCAGTGCTAGGTGAATAAAGTAAACAGGGAGGAGTAACGCTGTAATAATAATTCTTATGTTTTTCAGATTGTATTTTAAAAGGAATAGGATTTCACCATGCTGGTTTGAGTGTTTCAGACCGAAGAATAATTGAAGAATTTTTCTTGATGTGCCAAATTCAAGTGATAAGTAAGTTTTCTGTATCATCTTGTGCATCTGTATCTTTTCTATTTAGATGTATTTTGCTCTGAGCAAGGTTATTAGGTGTATTTTGCTCTCTTTGTTTTGTCTGTTCAATCTACAGAATTATCAGGACTATGCATAATAATAGATGGATAAAGAAGAAGAAATTTCATCTAATATGTAGGGGCCCACTTTTAGTAAAAAAGGGTCCCGAAGTTTGGAAGTTCTGAGTCTTAAGACTTATTATTTCTAAAGTCTAATGAATCACTGCAGATCGTGTATCAAATAGTATTTCCTAGTAAGCAATTTCAAACCTCTGAGTGTTAGTTCTGGCTTTTTTGAACTATTAGCAAGCTTTCCTGTATCAAAAATCCGGTTTCTCTGATCCTATTTTGTGGCAGAATAGCACATAACATGGAAATTTTGGTACAATTTTACCCAAGAGCTCAACACTTGGAGGGTTAATAATAACCCTTTTTTTTTTAAAAAAAAAACATGTTTTTTTCATTGCAGTTTCCACGAGTACATTATCAATGGGAGTGAATTTCCCTGCTCACTTGGTCATCATAAAATCAACCAATCAGTATGCAGGTGGTTGCTACAAAGAATACTCTGACACACAAATATTGCAGATGATTGGTAGAGCTGGAAGACCACAGGTGAATATCTTACATCATCTCATTCTTTTATGGTTGAGGAAGTGAAGGATTTTTAGTTTATAGTTTCACTTGAATGTAAAGAATTGTAATTATTATAGGTTACTTTGATGTCTGGCTTTTTAAATAAGTTGTGATTGGGGCAGTTCAGGTTTAAGAAAAAGCATTCCTTATTGACTTACGTATAAAGAATAGTCTACAGATCAAATGCAAATATGGCATATCTGCTTGTCTGAAAATACTCTTTATAAAAAAAAAAAAAAATTTTATACTTGAGGAGGGGATATAACAACGCTAAAATACTAACCACAATTTCTTCATTTAAAATGAATAGCAACTTCATTATTTTTGAAAAATAGTTATCATAAATAATATCAGTTGAGTTCCAAAAATGTATTAAAAAATTGTTCATTAAAAGAAAGATCTCTTATTTTGCTAGAATATTTCCAATCATTACTCCTTATCTTACTATGGATGTTGAATGAAATTATCATAACTTTCAAGATGATATTGAATTTTAATTTGTATTAAATTATTATTGAACATAAGGTTAGAAAATAGTTATAAAAATTCTATTGTTTTGTCTTTTTAAAAGCTGTTTCATTTAGATAGGTGTATTGGTCATAAAATTTTAAAAAAGACGCAATTTCATTTTCAATTGCTCTTGAATTATTATTTATGATTTTTTATTATACATATTAAAATTTTTTTTTTTTGGGGGGGGGGGGGGGGGCNTTTGCTTGTTCAAGGGGTCAAAAATTAATGTCTATTTTTTTTATAATTAAATGTAAGTATTTGGTTTATTTTGCTCTATATTGGGGGTGTATAAAAATTTGAGAGTTGACCTATGACCATGGAAATTTTATATGTTTTATACATTTTTTGATGTATTGGCAAAACTGACTCAATTTTCCTTAATACTATTAATAAATCCACTTATGAGGCAGCGAAATAATAATAATAATTAAGACAGTGAAATAATTTCACTACCTGAGAATTAATAATTCATTTCCAAGTATGACAGTATGTAATAAATAGATTAAAAGTTTAAAGTGATTCTTTTACAAAATTTTTAATTTTTATATAAAGCAATTTCAAATGTTTTTAATTTTAAATACTTTTTAAAAATTAATGGTGTGTATATAAGTACAAAATAATCTAATTGGATGTTAGTTGATATTGTTAAACTGAAAGAGTGAATATTTTCTTTTCTTTTTAGTTTGACTTTTCAGCAACAGCCGTTATAATGACCAAGTCTTCTTTAAAGGTACAATAACTTTTTATACAACACACAGTAAAAATAGTTCTTGTATATGATGTAATAAAAGCTAAAAGAGATTACTCAATTACAAGAATTAAGTAAACTCTAATGTTCATAAAAAATTTCATTATATAGGATTTGGGCAATTCCATGGTGTAGGATGTAAACATTTCAATAAATTTAATTCTAAAAAAAAACGCTTCCAATGGTTAAAATATATAAAACCAATCAAATTATTATTTTCTTTTTTTAGTATTTATCCATGTAAAGTGCTCAAAAAATAAACACCACCCTGAATAACTTTTGATCTAATGATAAGATCTTCACACCCTAATGCTCAATCTTAATGGTTCACAAAGTGACTTCAAATATGCTAATTAACTAGTGCAGACGATATTTTAAGTTACGAAATCAGATTCAAAAATGACCTTGAATAAACATACCATTTTTTTAAATATAGATTTGGATTTCTGACCCCCCAAATTATTTGAAAAATATTGCCACCATAGTTTTGTCAGGAGAGCAATCCTAAGTTTGTATCCCGTAATGCAATTCTACTTTTTGTGTATTTTGCTATATCTCGACAACTTTTTAAGTAAATTGAGAAAAATTTGCACAATTCATTAGTTTCTCATTTCTTTGAAATGGAAGGGGAAAGAAGGAAGGAAGAAATTATTTAAAAATATTAATGGCTTATAACCAAGATAAAAAAAAAAAAACAACCAAGATGTGCTTTTCTATTAGATTTAAATTTTCTGTGCCCTACTATAAGGCTCAAAGTGAACTGTTCAAAAGAAATTCAGACTTAAATAACCTCAATGCAAAATTAATTTTATCAAAAATTAAATTTTTTTAAAGTTAATAATGAAGTTTTATCTGTATTATACACTTTAAATAAAGTTTTATTAAAAATACTCATTACTTGATCATTATTTTATTGTACTTTTTTTTAAAGCGGACACAATAAAAGAAAAAGTTGGGTTTTCTTTACTAATTAAATGCGTGTTTGATGATCTAATTCTAATCATGTATGTTATTCTAATCATTAAGTGTGCTCTTGACATTTTAAAATGGAAATAAAGTTTTCTTATTTAACATAGCTTAATGAATTTCTTTTGGCCTGCCTACTTAAAATGAAGAAAAAAACTTTCATATCAACTGAATAATTTAGTAGACCAACACGATAAATGAGATGTATTAAAAGTAGATAAAGGCTTTAAAAACTGTAAATATTTTCATATAAATCATAGTTTCTTTTTGCTTCAGGAAAAATATGAATCTATAGTTAGTGGTAAACAGCTTGTGGAGAGCAAGTAAGATTATTCATTTCTTCCTTATATAGTGACAAATAGAAAAGTTAATACAATGTTGCAATACAAATTAATTACATTATTTGTTGGAATATATAGTCTAAGTTTTTTATTTATAAAAACTCGTCTCTGGCAAAAATGGCATTAGTACTTCATTATGTGTTAATTTTCATTTCTTTCATCTGTAGATGGCTTTATTAAATTCTTATCATCATTGCAACAGCATGAATATTTTTGTAATAAAATGTCTTTTTATACAGGGTTATATATCATCAAATCATCTTATAGCCAACTTATATAGCCAATATTTACATAAAAATGCTTTAAACTTTTAAATATTTGAATTCCAAAATTCATTTTAAAATAAATTCTAAAAATAAAAAGGCTTTTGTTCATAGAATAAATGTTATGGAGAAAAAATAAATACTTAATGAAAATTTATGAGTAATAAATTAATATATGGATATAAATGAAATGGGTGTAGAAATGAAATAGTACATAAATGGTAATATAATGGTAGCGGTGACTAAAATGATAATTTTATTTACAAAATTTGCATCTTTAATCCATAATAAAAACATATGATTAATCTCAAGTAGAATAATTATACATTTTCATAAAGTAGAATTAGTCTAAAACAATTATAAGTTAAACTATCGTATTTTAAAAATTTCTCAACAGAAAAGGCTTACTCCAATTGAATTACTAATAGTTTATAGACTTCTTCAGAACCCTAAAAAATAGCACAAAAATAAAATTAGTGAAAAATATACATCACAGTGTGAATAAAAAGAAATATTTATTGAAATGGTACCTTTATGCACTTTTGGTCCGAAATACGTTAATTTAAAACTATCCTACAACAAACAATTATTAATTGTTCAAAATAAGATTTAACATTTAATTGGGAACATGCTTTTAACTTTAGAGCATTTATATTTAGTGAATTAAAAAAGGTTTAAGGACGTTTAGCATTAAACAGTTTTATTAAAGCATTTTTTAAACAATACCATAAACAGTAAAAAATTCAGGTTCTACTTTTCGAATTTTGTTTGTTGTAATAATGTGTATTAAAATTTATAAATAACACACAGAAATGCATAGTGTTAATTACCTAAAATTGATCATTTAAAAAAACATTTCGGTTTAAAATAAAATATGCACAAATAAAATTAAATATGACGATAAACTCTCGGTATTGCAATAATATCATTTAAAAATATTTGCTTGTTCAAAACCATGTGAAGTGCATAGCAGCTAAAAAAATAGTTGCAAAGTCATTTGAATTTATAATGAAATGTGCCAAATAAAGTATGTCAAAAAGTGATTGTTTAAATGTGCAAATCAAAATCTGAATGTCATAATAACACTGTTTAAAAACATTTGTATTTTCAATACCATGAAGAAATGCATAGCAGCCAAAAAAAAAAGCTGAAAAGTCATTTGGGTTTACAATAAAATGTGCACAAATAAAGCATTTCAAAAAGTGATTATTTAAATGCTCAAGTTGAAATTTATGTGTCTTAATAAAAACATGGAAACTCATGGTAACCATTGATAAAAAGATTGAAAAGCCACTCATATTTACAATAGAATCTGCATAAATCAAGCTTGTCAGAAAGAGATAATTCAAATGAGTGATTTAAAATTTCCAATTTTTATTCTTTTTTTTTTTTAAAGTTATAATAATTTTTTTATCATCTTCAGATGCTGTCATGGGCCATAGATTGAGCACCACTGGAGAATGTCATTACTAAAATTACTATTTATAAAATTGTTGGCGAAATATTCTGTGCATTTCTAGATGGATTATTTTTAAATTTTCTGAAAACTAAAGAAAAATCTATGTCTATATTTAATGTTAAAGATATTCGGCATGTCATAGTTTGTGAGAGTCGATCAATATATTTTTCCAGATCTTTAATTAAAAGTTTGACTTTTTTATGTATCTATTCATCTGAAAGTTTTACCAACATGCTATATAGTTTCAATTTAAGTTTAAAAACTAAATGCCACATTATTGAAGCAAAAGATTTCTTGTATGCTATGACCATTTTAATGGGGTACATCTCTGTGAAACTTTTGATGAGTATAATAATTTTTTTATGGAATTTAATACTAGCCACATGTGAGATATCTAATAATTTCAATAATCTACTTATCTACTAATTTTAATTATTAAATATTTAATTAATATCTAATAATTTGTATTTTTTACAGTTTACATAAACACATTGTTGAACACTTAAATGCAGAAATTGTCCTTGGAACTATAACAGATGTTTCTATAGCCATGGAATGGTTAAGAGCCACCTATCTGTATCAGAGAGTTTTTAAGAACCCTAAATATTATGGTAGGTTTTATTTGCACACAAATAAATAGAATTAGTACAGGAGTAAGCCTAGCATTCCGAACATGTCTAGCTAGTCTCGCAAAATGTTGAGACAAAATTTTAACTAAATATCTTGTCACATTTAGGATGTAAATTTTCTATTTACTTTAGGGTACAAACAAATACAGTAAAAATAGAGTTCCTCATTTAGGTTATAAGCAAATGCAGAGTTTAATTTTGTTTTCTGAACGTCAAAAAAAAATCATCAAAGAGATTATAAAGAGCGCAACCAGAAGCGTTTATGAAATTTAAATTTTTAGACTAAAAATTTGGACGTTGTGAAAAGAGATAAATGAAAAACAAAATGAGTGGGTGTGTAGTGGGGGGATAGAATATCTTGTATGTTAAATACAAAAATTCTTAAAGAATTTTTTAAAAAAAAAGTTAAGTTATTTCCATTTAAAATTTTAGATGGAGTTGAGTGAGGTATATAGGGGATTCTTTTAGGCCTGGCCATGAATAAAATTCGTTCTCAAACTAATCACGTAGTTTCTGTTACAATCATACAGATTTTTAAAATGTTGTAGGTTGTAGGCGTAGTAGTAGTTTACAAGTTGGTAAAATATTGAGTAACTGATATGTTTTGGTTAAATTCTGTAATTTTTCAGTAAGAATATTGTAAGTTTTTCTGAGTTCTTTTATGTTAGTTATGTTGTTCTCATCTTAAACTAATAATCATGATAAAAAGGGAAAAACTTACCCATGCATATAATAAAGTTAGAAAAATTTTATTGTTCGATACTGAAGTTTTATCAAGATGATTCTTAATTTGGTTATCTAGATATTAGCATGAATTTTAAGTTTCGATCAATTACTCCCAACTATTTTATCATATAAGGTTTCTAATTTCTTACGGCAACAGTTTATGTCTCTTATGCAAGTATTTCAACAATAAGTAATATTATTATCAATCTCATTCTTATTAGTAAATTTTTACACAAAAAATCATAAATGTTGATAACAATATCTAATTATCAAAAACAAATCAGGGGTTTTGTAAAAATAATTTTTTATTTCATGGCCAAACCAGTCTTTTTCACCACGAAATCAAATTACATCTTCCCTTTTTTGGTTTTCAAAAATTTTTGTGGGTGTTTTTTTTTTTTTTTTTTTTTTTTTTTTTTTTTTTTTTTGTTNGTTTTTTTTTTTTTTTTTTTTTTTTTTAATTTTCCTAAATATTTATAAACATTATCCACAAAGCATTTCTGTCATTTCTCTTTATTTTATCAGTTAAATTCTCATATTTTATTAATTAAACACAAACTCAATAATTTCAGGTAAATGAGTAAAATTAAGTTTTTAAACTATTATTTATATGAGAACAACATGAATAAAACAATTTTCTAAGACATATTCCCTTACACTCAACTTTTACGTCTGTTTTAGTTGCTTTGAAGCATTTGATGTGAAAAAAAATTTTAAGAATTGTAGAAATTATTATGCATTTATTTTATTTTCAAATTTCAGTTTATTTAATTTCATGTCATTTCAGGTATGAATATGGAGTTATCAAAAGAAAAAATTGAAAAAAAGTTACTAGGTTTGCATTAAATTAGTATTGAATTTTTCATTTTTCTCTTTTTAAAAAATTAAAATGTCACTAACTTCTGGGAAATCACGAAATTATGAGGCCTCAAAGGACTGCTTTTCCTGTGCAATTAAAAATTAAATTGTGCAAATCATTTAGGCTGTTATAATTTGTTGTTGCAATTATAATTTGTTGTTGCAATTTTTGTTTAAGTTTGAGTGCTAATTCTTAAAAGTCAAGATGTTTTGTGAAAAAATATTAGTACTAACAATTTTAAGAAAGTCAATTAATGAAAATTGAAAATTCTGTCTGCTGACCGGCCTGTGTAGGAGTCAGGGAACTGGCCTTGCATCAGAAAGGTTCTGGATTCAAATCCCGGGTACATAGATTTTCTTTCATTCTCTGTGCTATCTGTCCTTAGAGTGGAAGCAACGTTGGCCTACCTAATATGGTGCCCCTGAAAGACTGGCCAACAATTCTGCCCTTCAGATGCCTGTATGATGAAAGGTCACTCTCCAGGTATGCATTGGGAAAAAATGTATATATATATAGTTGTAACCATGAAAAATAGTAAATCAAGTAAATATTTATTTTAGCAGGGTAAATATACTAAATTGAATGTTGCTAAAATCTTTAATTAAAAAATAGACATATTTTCAGCAAAATTAAAAAGTCCATGCAATTTTCCTAATGTGCAGTAATATCTGATAGAAACCCCCCACGGAAAATGTTGCTGAAATTTTTGCTTATGATTGTGTAGGCCGCACCGCCACACGCTGCTCTTCCATTTTCAGTAATGATAGTTAAGCACAAAAAATCAAAGCAAATTTTTGGCATTGGCGTATCTCAAACAAAAGGCTGATCCAGAACTCAAAAACATTCGAATATAAAACTCACAAACCTAAAATCTCATGTGAAACTTCAAAAGAATTAATCTTATGGTGTAAAAAGAAAATTGAAACTGTTAATTGGCTGCAGGTGAACGGAGTGAAATGTCCAATGCCGATCATGCAACACTAATGACTTCAGCAATAAGAGTGACTAGATAAGAGTTCTCTCTATCAGCCCCTCATCCACTCCTAGAACAATCTCTCACAAGTGTAAACTTGAATTTACACTCTGGCTTTCTTTCTTTGCTTTGCCTACTTTTTAATCCAGAACACAAAAAAATTAAATCACAAATCGCCCAAAAAATAAAATCACTGTATAGGACGCAAATCATAATAATTTTTAAATGCTGATAGGCTGCAGTTTATCTACCTAAAATTACTGTATTTGAATCTATGACACAAGACAGTACTTTTAAATTGTTGAACGTTGGCAAAATATTATAAAGGAGGTATTGTGCATCCTTTAGAAGCAAATATGCAAGTTTAAAACACGATTTGTAATTACTCTAAAAAAATGCTCTTAGTATTTAGATACTAAGATAAATCATTTCAGCTGTTAAAACAAATTAATATTAATGTCAATTCTTAACTTGCTATTGCTTACATTATCTATTCATTCAGTACAAAAGCATTAGTAACTTAAATTCTGATATTCTTGAACCTATATGATCTCAAAACAACTTCCCTTTTCTTTTTTTAAAAAAAATTCATTATTTGAATAATGCTATAAATCCTTTAAACAAAAAATGTAGAAAAAAGTTTTTATTATTTTACTTGTTTTATTGTTTTGCCTCAGTAAATTTGTTTTTGTTTTTTTATTTCATGAATAGCAGTACCACTGGCATGAATCAGTTGTGATGAACAAAAAATTTTTAATTAAAAATTTATTTTTTGCTATCTACTTTGTGTGCATTATTAGAAGTGTACAAATGTCATAATGCCTAAAAAAAATTATTCTTTTCCATTTTAAACTCTAACAGTCAATCTTAATAACTAACTAAATCTGTGTCGTAATTAATTTGGTATGTATCTAATCAATATAATTTACTAAGTCCTAATTTAGTATGATGCACCATCGAAATCCAAAAAGTGACCAGAAAAAAATAAACTGATTACAAACTGCAAACAAAACAGAGCCGGAATATCATCTGTATCTATTTTGATCTTATTGTTGATGCCTCTGCAGTTCCATTTTAAGCTGAAAATGAATAGTATCAATTTCAATAGACAGTCACCATTTTCTGTTCTTGTGTTCATTGTCATATTGAGCTAGTTTGTTTCTCAAACAACATAATGTATGTTCATCAACCATATTTTTTGTGATGCAGTATTCATCTCCAACTTACTGCAGCTGTCACATTAAAGAGTATGCTATCTTTTCACAGAACCTGAATTCCTTTTTACTTAATTTATGTTGCAGCGTTCGAAAACTAACTTTAGTTTAAGGATAAAATATTGTTTTCTTATGCCTAAGAAATCTGTTTCTTATATTTTTGCTGACTGTTTCTCATTATGGTTAATTAAACTTGTAGAGCCATTTTGAAATCTGAGTTTATAAAATCAAAATTTTTCCCCTCACAGATATGTGCCTGATTGAGTTGAATGGATTAAGAAAGTATAAATTAATTTTCATGGACAATGACAGCTTTAATGTTGAACCAACTGGTAAGTTAATTTTTTTACTTCATTCTATACCACGTAATGTATGAGATATGATAGATTAGATTTTCTTTAAATTGCAGATGCTGGTCGTTTAATGGCAAGATATTATCTCTCTTTTGAGACGATGAAATTATTTTGCTCTCTCTCTGGAAAAGAAAACTTACCTGATCTGGTATTTGTTTTCCCTTTTTTGGGGGGGGGGATGAACACATTTCTTCTGATTTACATATTTTAAGACAAGAATAAGCCACCCACATATGTTATATATCGATTTAAATATTGTGGTTATGCTTTTTTTCAACAAGGATCTATGGGTTAGAGAATACTAATTAGTTTACATTATTATTTTTAAAATACATTTAAGGTTTTAACAAAGAAACCTACTGCCCTCTTCCAAAAAGAAAAATGAGCATTGTAATATGCAGTCTCTACAACACGAGTGTGCAAGTACTACCTTATAACTTATTGTTGTAAATACTATGTTATATGTTGATTGAGTTATCCTATAAATTAACTTCTGAACATACTTAAATTGACTTAATAATGCAAAATTTATTTTATGTATTAGTGTACAATGTGTAAAAATATATATATAACCCTAAATGACTTTTGTTCTAATAATTAGATTTTCAAGTTCTAAGTGTCATTTTTAATATTTCAAGGGGGTGACCTCAAATATGCTAATTAATCAGTGCCAACTATCAATTAAGTTATGAAATCAGACATAAAAGCAAACTTTCTCTAAATAAACATATTTTTTTACATACATTTGGATTTCTGACTCTCAAAAATTTGAGGGTAGCCCCAATCTTGAAATAATGATCTTAAGAATTGAGTCAGGGGAGCAGATGAAATTTTGATCTCCTGGATGTTGGTTAACTTTTTGCATTATTAGTTATATTTTTAAAACTGAAGGCACATTCTAAAAAAATTTCACTCACTTATGAAACTCATTTACCCAAAGATAATTCATGCAATTTTTAATAATAATTTTTTTTATTTAATTTATTAGTGGATGAAAAAAGTTTTAATTATGATGTGTGAATTTGTTTTATACCATATTAATCTATGCATTTTTTTTATTGAGGAATCCTAAAGTTTCACTTGTTTTTATATTAGTAAAAGTAAAAATTCTTAGAAAACTGTCAATAAATTAAATCTATGTAATTATGTATAATAAGGGCTGTATAAACAATAAGTTTCAAATGGAAAAACATTTTTAGATAAAGAGAGATGTTTTGCTATTTGTTAGATAGATCAAAGATAGAAACATGATTTAAAACTTTTGTTTCAATGTTATAATTCTGCTTTCATGTATGAAGAAAATAATAAAGACCTACTCAGAAAGGGAGGGCAGAGAAAATTGCCACTGGACCCAAAACTGCTTATGGCCAAGTCAAGCTCTTTATAAAAAATGAAGCGTTTTTTATTTATTTTTTAATTGCCTAGAATTCCTTCATAAGTGTATAAAATTTTGTATAAAAGGTCTTCAAACATTTTACAAAGTATTATAATAAATAAAACTTATTATTCTTCGAGGATGAGGCCACCAATAAGTTTTGTTCTAGGGAGCTGTAAACCCTGCTTTGCGTATAATTTCAGTTTCAACAAAGTAGAACCAAACACTACAATAATTAATTTAGAATAAAATAATAGAACCAATTAATATTTCACTACCACCTTCGATGTATGTATGTAACATGAAAAGCTTCAATTAATATTTTTTTGTTAGTTTCTTCATTATAAAGCAACTCCTAATTTATTACTACTTAATTCTTCAAATCGAAGCACTTTATCATACTTTTAAAAAACCACATCCTGTTTCTAAATCTATTTTTAGCCCAATTATGCATAAATTTAAATAAAGATATTTTTCCTTTTAAGCTTTGTGGGAATTGCGTGATCTACTTAATTAACCAATAGTAATTTCTGAGATTTCCATCTTTTCCCTAAATAGACATTTTTGGATTTTCCCTACCAGAAAGACTGTTCGCTGATAGAGTAAGCATCACTTTTCGCTGGTCTTACATAAGAAAATGATCTAAATAAAATACATCTGATTTTATTAAAATCCTGTGTCTGTTTCCCTGCTCGTTCCGACTGCATCTTATTACACGTATATAATGCTCCCTTATTTCACAATTCAAAGTTATGAGCATATTATGTGGTAATATAATGGCAGCAAAATTATTTGCCTAAGCCATCTCCACTTCGGCATCTTTCTTTTCAGTTAACAGCAAAAATTAAAACTAACGTATGAATTCAATTGAGATTTAATTATATTGAAATAAGTAGCTCAATCTGATGCTTCTAATAAAGGTAAATATACTATTTCATGAGGGAAATTTTTAGATATGTTTTCCTTACTTTAACCTCCATTTTCTAGACTTTAAAAAGGTGACTCACCAACAAAAAAAATTAATAATCATTAATTGTAATTTCATCAAGAAAGTGTTCAGGAGTCAAACTTCTGTACAATTTTGTTTTGACCTGAAAGACTTAAAAGTTTAAAGATAACTGTTAACATGTAAGAAATATTATCTATATTTAAAAAAGAAATCTGTATTTTGAATATAAGTAATATGAAAAATGTATCACTTACTAATCAGTGTCTAAGCAATTAAAAATGGTTTTCATTTTTCTTTATGAAGTAGAATATCTTTATGTTCGTTAAATACTATGGTTTACAATAACAAAGATTCAGAAAGTCTTATACCTCGAATCTTCTCAAAAAGGAGGTGACTGGATAAAAAAAGCTAAGAAAGAAAACTGATACAAATGGCCACAAGTATATATATGAAGTTATAATTTACATTATATAGCAAACATAAAAATTATATTGAAAATAAATTATTAACAATTTACATGGAAAATTCAGGACATCCAAGTTATTAAATGTCAAAAAAATTTAGGCTACAGCAGATGATTCTGCCATTTGGCAATGTGCTGTGAGATTATCTATTGTATTTAACTAAAAAAAAAAATTTCTTAAAAACTCAACTTACACCAATTGAATTAAAACCCTAATTTTTATTTAAAGGACATTGGTGGAGCCCAACATTTGGATGAACATATCTGGTCAAATCCAAATTGTATTTAATAACAAACCAATACACAAAAATTAGCGGTTTCCAGTTCTTTATTTATTTATTATTTTTTTTAAGTAAGTAAATCAATAAGAGTGATGTGAAAAAGTTTGTCTTAAAATTAACTTTGTTTGTAAAAAAATTTAATCAGTNCATATATTGATACCTCGAGCTCTGCAAATATACTACTAAATAAAAGCTTTTTTTTATTAATTCTGATCCAGTTCAAGTATTATATTCATCATCTTCTGTTTTCATTACTATCTTCAACTGGCCCACTATACGAATACAAACTCCAACCTCACCTGATATATTCCAGCACCACTTAAAATGGCACCCCTTGGCTTTTCCTTCTTCATCATAAAATTTTTTTTTAAAAATTTAATGACTTTTTTTCTTTATCCCAGTTTTTTATTATAAAACTTATGATAAAACTAATGTGTGCTTTCACCTTATTGAGGCAGTAAGTTAAGGTATATTTTTTTCTTTTCAAATCTGGTACAGAACTCTCTCAGAAAATTTGGTAGCAAAAATGAGTTTTTCAACTGCATAATACATCTGTGGTTTTTAGGGAAAATAAGGAAGAAATACTTTTTTAAGGATTTATGATCAAATTTGAGTACTTTTATGTCATGTATTTTCATTTGCATGCTGACATGAAGGGAAGGGCTTATTATATAACTCTTTTTATGTGCAAAGGAAAATAATTTTTATTTTTCAAATTTAAAAATATACTTTGCAATGTTTTTCTTAAAATCTGTTAGTGTATAAAAAGGCACTAAGTTAGAAACTAATTGTGGAAATTTTAAGATGTATTAAGTTCTTTGTTTGGAGTGATGTAAAATCATTTCAAATGGATTTTAGTGAAAGTTTCAGCAACATTTAAAGTAACATAAAGTATGATTAACATTACATTTAAAGTATGATACACAACATTTAAAGTAACATAAAGTATGATTAACATTACATTTAAAGTATGATACATAACATTTAAAGTATGACGGAGTAAGAAAGTAAGCTCTCATTTAACGAAAAAAAATTTTTTAAACTTTATTAAATGAGAGCCTCTGATATGCGCAGTAGATACGGGAATATTTATTTATTCTATCATATTTATATTATCCTATTTATTCTTAATCCTTTCCTTATGTTATTTTATGCTCTTATTTACTTTCTCTAGAGGAATTATTTGTCATTAATAACAACTGTACATTTTGTATTTTGCTTAAAAGACAACTGTAAATACTCAACAAATAGTGTTTTTAACTATTTTTTTAAGCTTAATTAATTGAATAGGCGACTATTTTTCAGCTGAATTTAATTTCTGCAAGTAAAGAATTTGAAGACGTTCAGCTTCGAGTGAGTGAAAAGAAATTGTTAAATGATTTGAACAAAAGTAAAACTCTTGCTATTCGGTAAAAATAATTTGCAATTTTCTTTCTCTTTTATTTATTTCTTCCTGGTTATAGCAAGAAAAATTAAAATGGCTTTTAAAAAACGTAACTAGAATTTTTCAATTAATAAATGCCTTGGGTATAAATTTCTCATATCACCTCTTTGTTGTATTTAAATTTACTTTTAATAGCCACTTGTCAGGTCCCTCATAAAGCCTGGCATCTCATAATTCCTTGCACACTTTTCCTATTTAAAATTGAAATAATATTACACTTTTATAGCAAAACTAAATGTGTGTAGAATTGTATTTTTATGAGTGTTTTACTTGAGTTATAAGTAATCATTTAATAACTTAACTGATAGAATGTTGTGAACACACTTGGACCAGTCTCGTGTAAAATACCAGGATCAGACAACAACTCAAACAGACTTGGTCCAATTATAGTTTAGGAAGAAGAATGGGCGTAATTCAGAAATGTAATTTCTCCTTTGGAAAAAGAAACATTTCAAGTGCATATTCTGAAAGAGGGTGCAGCGCTGAATCGTCATCATTGTATCGTCATCATTGTATCCATGTAACGCAAATCCGGATTAACTCCATCAAGAAGTCTTCCACGAAGGTAAATTTCTCCCAATACTTGATCTAGGAGTTCCCTTGTCTTCTGGATTGGGTTCAAAATTACAAGGCTACAGAGTTGAACATTAGTAGTCGTAAACCCATTAAATTGGGTCGGCTGTTCAATGACGGTTATAGAATAAAATAAAACATTGTATGGGGGCTGGGATAGTCTGGTTGGTAGGGCACTGGCCCGATGTCCAAGAGGCTGTGTGTTTGATCCCAGCCTGCTGTAGACTCTCCAGCAAACTGATACATGCTAAATCTGTCAAGTCACAAAGTCCTCCGTGTTCCCATAACAAATCATACCTCTGGGGGTACTGATCCAGGAGTTTCCTTGTGTTCTGGATTGGTTCAAAAATGACAAGACTACAGAGTTGAGCATTAGTAATTGTAAACCCAAAATTGGGTCGACTGTCCTACAACGGTTATAAAATTAAACATCATTGTAAAGGGCCGCAATAGCCTGGTCGGTAGGACATTGGACTTGTGTGCAAGAGGACGGGAGCCAGCCGACCGAAGAAACCTTGTGTATTAAATGGTGACTGGTGCACGTTAAATCTGTCACGGTCACAAAGTCATCCACGTTCCCATAACAAATCAATACGTCTGGGGGTACTGATCCAAGAGTTTCCTTGTCTTCTGGATTAGGTTCAAAATTACAAGGCTACAGAATTGAACATTGGTAGCCGTAAACTCAAATGTAGGTTGACTGTTCAACGACGGTTATAAAAACGTAATTGTATGAGCTGCGATGGATTAGGGGTTAGAACGTTCCCTTTCCAATGAGGTGAACTGGGTTCGAATCCCAGCAATGACTGGTCAATTCAAATCCGCATCCGGCTTGCACCGGCCGCAGTGCTGACGTGAAATATCCTCAGTCGTAGAGGGGTCATGGGTTTTCCTTTTGCCCTCAGGCTCACCGTGGGAGATTCTCATGATCTTTTGCTCTATCTACTGAAATGCAGATTAGTTCCATCAAAAAAGTCCTCCACAAAGGCAAAAATCTCACAATATTTGATCCAGGAGCTCTATCTACTGAAATGTGGATTAGTCCCATCAAAAAAGTCCTCCACAAAGGCAAAAATCTCACAATATTTGATCCAGGAGCTCTATCTACTGAAATGCAGGTTAGTTCCATCAAAAAAGTCCTCCACAAAGGCAAAAATTTCACAATATTTGATCCAGGAGCTCTATCTACTGAAATGCGGATTAGTTCCATCAAAAAAGTCCTCCACAAGGGCAAAAATCTCACAATATTTGATCCAGGAGCTCTATCTACTGAAATGCGGATTAGTTCCATCAAAAAAGTCCTCCACAAAGGCAAAAATCTCACAATATTTGATCCAGGAGTTCCCTTGTCCTCTGGATTAGGTTCAAAATTACTAGACTATGGAGTTGAACATAAAGTAGTTTTAAACCCAAAAAATGGGTGGGCTGTTCAACGACAGTTATAAAATAAAATTAAATATCATTGTATTAACTTCGATGACTCATGGAATATAGCACTCACCTCCTGGTGAGAAAACCCAAGTTCAAATCTAATTGAATCAAATTCGACTTCCAGACTATAGTTCTGGCAAACCATAGATAGACAGATCATTGGTTAGAATCCCCTTGCCTTTGAGCTAACCATGGGAGATTTTCGAGGGTTTTTTTTCTTCCATGTAACATAAATGCTAGATCCATCAATAAGTTCTCCACAAAGTTACTTTATCTCAATATTTAATAAATAAGTTTAGGTACAAAATAATAAATAAAATAAAATTTTTATGACAAAGCTATGTATAATAATTGAACAAAAATAAACATATTATAGATTATTTCTCTAGTTATAATTTATTTTAAAAGTTTTGATGTGGAAATTAAACTGAATATATTTAATAAATGACTTGTTTAACAGATTTATTGTTGGCAATTTCATTTTATTACCTAATATTTTTTAATGCTTTTAATTAAAGTTTTTATCTTAATGCTATTAGTTTATTTTTCTGATATCTGATGACGTGAAAGGGATTTTTTGTAATTAGACCTGCTTGAAAAATTGCTATGAATATTATGTTCTTAAAATATGGTGAGACTTCATAAATTCTGATTCAATAGGAGAATAGGACACATTATAAAATTGTGTTGCATCTTTTTGAAAATCTTCCTGTATTTTAAAAGTTTTTTAGCATATCACAAAACTCTTATATTATATATTTGTATATTCCAGCTTTCCTCTGCAGGGTAAAATAAAAACAAGGGCAATGAAAGTCGACTGGTAGGTACATCTTATTCATTTGTTTTTTTACTTAAAGTGAAAAAAATTGTGTGCAAATTTACAAAAGGATAAGATTATTGATTGATAACACCATAACTATGTTAAATCATGGATTCTATAGTATGGTATACACTGCGCTCCAAGCAGAGCAAGATATCATTTCTCGAAATCAGAAAAGCTTGCTAGTGTTAAAAAATACAAGAAAAATCAAAGTTCATTTTTGTTACGCAATATATTTTGTGATGCAGAAAATTCAACATAATCATTGCTGTATGACTTATCGCTATAAAACTATCAATGAATGGTAAATATCAAATACTTATACTGGTATAAAAGTTTAAATGCTCAAATGCGGGATTCTGAACACGTCGGTAATAATAAAGTAGTACTTAAAATATCAGGATTTTAAAAACCATGGGTAATTTGCCGGGTAAGGAGTGAAACAACCAACTATGAACTGCTACGAAAACGATTAAAAATGACGTTGATTTATGACGGCATAGTCGCTAATTGAGTGTGTCAAAAATAGATTACTCAAATTTGAAATTCCTGTGTTGTAATAACATATTAAAAATATCATTATTTGAAAAACCAGGTGAAAAAGAACTGAAAACTAGACAGATTTGTCGAGGAAATGGTCGGAAAATGACGTAGATAAAAAGATTGAATGGTCGTGAATAAAGCCTATCAAAAAGTAATTACTAAAATTTGAAAGTCACGTCTCAAAATATCAAATATAAAAATCAAAATTTAAAAAACAATGTTGAAACGGCCAAAAAATCAGTGAGTAACTCTTGAAAAACGAGGAGGATTTGCGTCAGAATCGTCGGGAGTCGAGTACATCAAAAAACTATTACTCTAATTCAAAATTCAAGTATTAATTATATTCATTGTATTAAAAATATTAGAATATGAATGAGCATATAAAAATCCCTTAACCACAAAAAATAACTTCCGAGAAAACGACGGGGAATAATGACAGAATCATTAAAAAGTTATTGCACTAATTCAAACACCCAATATCACAATATTATTGTACTAAAAATATCAAAGATTTAAAAATCACATGGAGATCTCCATAAAAACAATAACTAGCTATCGAAAAATAATATTAATGATGGAATCATCTTTAATGCAGAGCGTTAAGAAGCAATAACTCTGATGCGGAATTCACATGTTGTAATAACTTGGCATTAAAAATAATGGAGTTTAAATGTGAAAACTCAGCCCAACAGACGTTACTAGCAAATTTTGATATTGCATTTTTCTGTAACTAGTAATTTGCTACTTGCTTGTTGACATAATCATCCCTTGACTCCAAAAATTTAAAAAATGTTAGCAGCCAGCAGAAGTTTCTGGTAGTCAGTGAAAATATTAAGAGCTTACACATTTCTTTACTTCCAAATTTGAAATTTTTTGGAATACTTATTACAATATAATATAAAATGAATTCTTTTTTTAAAAAATTATTAAAATATTAAAAATCTACATGTTATTCCAAATTTATATTTTTACTACTAAATATGTATATTATTTTATAATTAATTAGATGCAATATCAATCTAACTGTTTTTCATGTAAATTTATAATTTTGGATGCAACTTCTTCAAAACTTTTGAGTCCTTGGGAACCGAAAAGTTTAGGAGGAAAATTCCGAAATCACAAGCCTTGCACAAAAATAACGCGATTGCTGTGGATAAAACCAAATGTTTCTTCTTTTTACTATTTTGCTGAAATAAAATTGAATATAATGTATTTTTCCATATTTTTAATACAAAATTAATTTCGTCACTGAAATTTCCAGTCGCTTATTTTAGTGACCTACTTGATTTTGGACCCATTTTATTGTAAATCCATGTGATTTTTCAGCAATAGTTATTAAAGATTTCTTTGTGGTTTTCTAATATCCCAATATTTTTAATCAGGCTAATATTAAACAGGTGAATTTCGAATAGTGTATTTGAATAATAACTTTTTGATGCACATGTTCAATTATCACAGATTATGTCGTGAATTCACATTGTTTTTTGAATTTCTTTTTCAGTGGTTATTCCCAAGGATTTCTAAATAATTTTTAATACAAAACAATTACTACTTATGAATCTCAAATGACGCATATCAGCTATCACTTTTCGATTTTCAAAAAAATAGCCAAAAATTTACTCGACACTTTCAATTCATGAGTCACTGATGGCAACTGTTTTTCATGAACCCTGTGTAAACATTTAAATTTTACTCCACATGGAATGAAATTTTTTAAAAAATTTTTTATATAAAATATTGCATTGCTCTATTTTTCTAGAAAAAAATTCTTAACTTCTTTTGTCTGAAAATCTCAGCTTAATGAAAATTGATTTCAAACTTAGTTATTTTTCAAACCCATATTGGCTGCATTTTTCAAGTCTAATTTTAACGCATCAAACATCTAGAAAATTTTAAAAAATGTGTAATGTTTAAAAGCAAAACTAACATTATCAGTAAGCATTTATCAGTATCTGTGCATTATCATTAAGTATATCTGACTAGTACTAAAATTTTACGATTGATCAAATTATGTGAATTGGCATTGTGGTATTAATTATGTATGAATATGGTGCTGTGGTAATTAAAACTATGGTGCCAAAAGAACATAAAATGGTCTTGTTGATAATAAACTTTAATAATTAGAGTTATTCAAAATAGAAGTTTTCATTTTTATAGTTGAAATACATTTTTGTTTTATTTGATATTATGAATGATATATAATTTCTTATTGTATTGTTAAACTTAATTATAAAAACATGTATGTATATATTTATATATTCTTTATTATTAATTAACTGAATGTTCTTAGTAATAATCAGAGTTTTTATTACTTTTTATAAAATCGGTCTTAAAGCAGGAGGGAAAAAATATCATTTTAACTTTTGAATCTTGTAAGCATTCTTAAGAACTCTTCGATTGATTAGTAAAAACATTAGTTTTAAATTCACAACATGGTGTATGATTCAGAAGGTGAAGATTACTTTTAACAGTAAAAGTAGTGGTATTTCTCTTAAAATGCCTTCAAATATATATCTAGCAGTGTCTTTTTAATATCCATTTATTTACACAACACTTTTAAAATTTAATTTTTTCTCCACATTAAACAAATTCTCATTGATTTTTTTTCTTTTGTTAAAATACTCATAATATTTAATGCAATTGGCTTTGCAATTTGCTTAAATATCCTTTTTGGTGTCTAGCTCCTTGCTTAATGAAGCCCTAAACCTCATAAGTCACACTTAATTTCGCCGGGAAAAAAAGTTGCTCCAGATTTCACAAAAAGTCAAATTCTAAAATATGTATGCTTACTATTATAGTCTTATTCAAGCTTCTTTTGGATGCCTGCCTATTTCGGAACCCATCTTCAATCAAGATATTGCAAAAATTTTCAGAAGTGGCGCTAGAATCTCACAATGTAAAATGCTTTAATTTTTATTTTTGTATTTAATTAAATTATGATAAATGGAAATATTTTGTAATGCATTGCTTATTTTTTAACATCAATTAAAAATAACTATTCTTACATAATATCAAAACTCTAATATTACTCTTTTCATTATTTGTTTTACTTAATTATGTATGTGTATTTGCATATTTATACAGGCGTAAAATGCAAACGTTATTTTTTTATTTATTTATTATTATTTTTTTTTTTGCTACTCAGATTATCAGCGATGATATTATTCACTACAGAATGCCACAATAATTTTTTTAGATGGATGGGCCTTATTTTCTTCACAATCAAGTTTTATTGAATTTCCTTTTGCTTATAAATTGAAAATGACGTAAAAAGCTTAAGCCAAGAATATCTGATAATGATCAGGGGTCTGCCCAAGCCAAATTTACTACCATGTAGCGGTACCTTCACAAATTCAACTTTAGGAAAAACGGTAGTTTCACAAAATACTTTTTCTTTTGTGTCTCGGAAAAACGATAAATTCTTATTTTCACCAATATTTTTGTGTTGATTTTTTAATATAATTTTTCATTTTCACAAATTATGTCTAAATTTTTACAAAATAAGTACCTCTCAGAAAAACATAGACAGACCCCTGATAATACTTGCTCATAATACCAAAACAGCTATCCCACTTTTAACCTTATTTATTTTACATTATTTTATTACCAGCACAAATAAAACTGAATTTCTTTTGTATTATCTTGCCTGCCTTATCATTTTGCCAATTTAGACTTTTGATTGACATGATATGTGTATTTCATATTAAATATTATGCGAATTGCACTTTAATTAACTTTAGTAAGATATGCTATTGCTCTTCAGTTATATTTTCCTTGAAAATCATCACAGAATAAAAAGAAAGCTTTTTAAAAAAATGTCTTTATATGAAATATATCCTATAAATGTTTTTTAAAATTTGCAAAGCCTCTTATGGGTCTATTTTGTAATTTCTCTTACCTACATGCAATCCTTTTCAAATTAATAAATACTACTTTCAAAATGTTATGAAAAAATTTTATGAAGACATAACAGTATTCATTTGAAAAATAATTGTGATTTGTAATTTATTTCAGGTCTATCTGAATATTTAGAAATCGAAAAGAAATCCTTTTCTGTTTTGTATAATGCGATTATTTTAGCCAAATGTTTCAGAGCAAGACTGTGGGAGAATTCAAAGCATGTGTCCCGACAAGTAGATAAGATTGGTAACAAATAATCTATAATGTTTTTAAATTGTATTTTATTAAATTATATTCAACGGATTTTTGAATTTATTTATTTCCAAATTATTTCTTATTATTAAAAACCCCCATTAATCCTTTCAACATATTGTATTTCCCTTAATGAACATACCTTAAAATCCAGTTTTAATCGCAAGTGTTTTATTTATCCCCTAAATGTTAATGCCTTTTTCTCTGAACTTTAAACTGTCTGCTTTCCTGATATAAAAGTTTGTTTATAGCCATGCTATTGAACACGAAAGTAATATCATTTCGCTTAAAGTTGGTCCCATAATATACCATTTCTTTATTTTAGTTCCTTTTTTAATATTTGGTCCCTCAAGTCCCTTTTTGCAAGAAATTTTTTTTATCAAATTAGCATGTACAAATGCAAATTTTTTATTTTCATTTTTTTTACCAATTTTTCCTCATTTTCTAGTTTTGAGCGATTGGTGTTGATTGAGTGAATTCTTGCATAACTGGTTTCCACTGCAATTCAGTATTGGTCCAACATGAAGGACAACATTGTACAAAAGCACATTCAAGCTTTTTTTCTTAGGCAATGCAACTGGCAAAGTCTTGCGCAATCAAATCATAGTAACATCATCAAATGCTAACCTTCATCTTAAAAATATACTTATAATAGGTTGTGAGGGCCCAAATGTTAATAAAACATTCATTAGATTGATGAACAAGAGTTTTCTGTATGTACAAGAGAAGTTGGTGATTGACATTGAGTCATGCAGTTTATACAAAGCTCATTATACCTGTGGAATAGGATTCAAAGCAATGGGTCAAAAAATGACTGAGCCAGTAAGTTCTTCATTATAATAATACCCTGCCAGAATCAGTTTAGTACAAAAACATGGGTTTTGGCATCAATTATCAAGTTTTTACATATCTCTAATAGTTGCAGGTCAGTTTTCATGTATTACTTTCATTAACTGTACAGTATGCCAAAAAAAGAACTACTCTGAATAACTTTTTATCTAATGATCAGATTGTCACGTTTTAGGACTCATTCTTAATAGTTTGGGGGTGGGGTGACCTCAAATATGCTAATTAATGAGTGCAGATGATATTTTAAGTTATGAAATCAGACAAAAAAACATACATTCTCTGAGTAAACATGTCTTTTTTTTTTGATGTACTCATAATTTTGGCCCCCAAAATATAGGAGATAGCTGCAATCTGGGAAATATGGTCCCCATAGTTTGGTCTGGAAGGCGATCCAAATCCGATTATTAGATAAAAAGTAATTCGGGAAGGTCCTTTTTTGGGGCATTGTATAAAAATGTGTCTTGTCCTATTTCTTTCTTGGATTTCTAAGTTATTTTAGAAGGACTTTGTCCAACATTGCATGTAGATGCATAAATATTTATAAAAGTGCATGATAACTTTTATACAGTGTTATTTTTTAAACAGTGTTATTTTTTAAACAGATATTTCTGTTTATAACTTAAATTCAATTTTTATTTTACTAATACTGGCAAAATTAATCCTCTTCAGAGAGACTTTAAATTGACAAGTGTGCTATATAGAAATTTTTTTGTGAAAAAACAGCTTTTAAAAAATTGGTCCCTTTTCTAAAATAAGACCCTTTCTCAAAATTTTTTGTCCTAAGTCTTTTTTTTTATAAGTTCAAGACTGTTAAACATCCTACATTGTATAGCAGGTATTATTCAGTATAATTTTGTACATAATCATATTGTTCAGAGGGTTAAGTATTTTATACTCAAACATAGTTTATTTTCATATCTAAATATCCAATTAAAAATTCTCTTAAAATATATTCCTTTTAAGTTAATGAGAAAATGTTATTATAAAGAATACTAGGATCAATGAATTATTTTTATAGGTCAGGGAATCTCATTGACTTACTTGAATCAATTTTTTCGAAATCTTCACTGTTGTTGCGAATGTATAATGCCATAAATTTGTAGTGGTCACAGCACACTCGAATAACATTTAAATGTTTGGGGGTATATATTACCGTGGAATTTCATTTATTGATTAACTTTAATATTGCTGTCTTTAAAAAAAAGCACTTACCAAATATTTGAAAGAGTGTCATCTTTACGCTTTTTATTTTATTATTTTATTTATTGGGGGGACTCATGTATATGTTCATTGCAGGTGTTACTCTGTCCACTTTACTAGTAAATGCTGGTCTTACATCGTTTGAAAGGATTCTAAGAACAAATCCCAGAGAAATAGAATTGGTGAGAAGCTCATTTTTCTTCTTATTTTTGTAATAGTTTTTTTTAATAAAAAACATAAGTTATTTTAAATTTAATGAAATCAATTCCTTCATTATTTATCAAAATATTATACTGAAAATTAACTGAATATTATATATGTCCTTAACTATTTTTGAACATTAAAATGTGGGTATTTACTTTTTGTAACTATTTCCATTTTCATTTGAAAACAAATAAGATTCAGTAACATGTTTGCTATTAAAAAAGAAAACTAAAAGCTCCTTTTTTATAAGACATAAATTGTTATGTTATATATAGTTGTTATGTAAGACTATTATACTGGATAATAAAATCTTGAGGTGATTCATATATCTCCAAAGGAGCCGATTTTTTATTATTAGTTTTGCCTAGCTTGTATATACAGAGTATGAGCTATAAATAAATTTTTGTAATCTGCATGTAATGTATTACATGCAGAGGAAAAAATGTTTTGTCAAAACTAATAAGACATCATATAATAAGCTCTGTTAATTATTATAACATGAGAAATTGATATGAAACTACAAATTCTATATTTTTGCATCATCAATTATAAATAGTTTTCTAAAGTTAGTTATTCAGTCATTTTTAAAAATCATAAAGATCTGAGTATAATGTACAAAACTTAAATGATATTTCAGTTTGATATGATATGAATTATTTCATTTTGTTTCATGTTTTTAGATTTTGAACAGACACCCTCCATTTGGAAATCATGTAATTGACAATATTAAGCAACTTCCTCAGTATGAAATTCAGGCTGAACAAGTAAGCTTCTGATTAAACTTATTTTCTAATAAGGGTGTTGTATGATCCCTGGTAATCCTTGCCAGTTTTTTATTTATTTATTTATTTTTTTTTGCAGTTGTATTTGAAATTTTAGCTTAGAATTTCCATTATAATATTTTCAAGCTGAATTTCTTAACAAACCATAAAAAAATATTATGTTAAACTATTACATGTTAAATATGTTTATTTATTAAAAAAAATATGTTATATTACGATAGACCTGGCTGAAGGTTGTATATTATACCTCTATGTTACAGGTCTCAGGTTCTATTCTCCAACCAGGCAAAGTTGACTCAGCCTTTAATCCCTTCAATGGGTCACTAAAATAAGTTACAAGCTTGGGGACTAAACTCTAGGGGTTTAGCCCCCAACCATGCTTGGAAGCTCAAGAAAACTGGAATGAATGTAGAAGGCCTTGGCTTTGCGTAGGCCGTTATGCAGCTGAGATTTTCATATGTAACTCTTTTGATGTATAAACATCTCAAACATCCTTTAAGACAAATTCAACACCTAACAATTCGCAAGTTTTTTCCAAACTTTTTCAATCAAAATCATTTAAAAGTTTAATAACAGTATCTACTTCATTTTTAGTTTTAGCAAAAATTATTATATCTACACAAAAAATTATAAGAATTACATTTTTATAGACCTATGTAGAATTACACCACTTTAATCTTACGAAATTTAAATTTTCAAGTGTATTATCTAATTCAAAAAACCACTCTTGACCACTTTGTTTTATTCATAAATATCTTTCTTTAAGTGACAAACGTTATTTTTCTTATTTGAATCAACAAAACCCTGAGGTTGATACATCCTCACTCGAATTTACGTAAAGATGAGTACACTTGATATCTAATTGAGAGTTATAACAACCAAGCATACAACCTAAAATTGAGAAAAACATTCTTGCAAGTGCATAATTAACCATCAACATAAGTTAAATGCATGAGAACACACCAGGTTTCACAAAACTAAAGATCTAAACTTTGTTACAATCGATCAAAATACTATCAAACAGAGAAAACCCCTTTCAGTATTTATTTATCTAACAAAATTCACGACAAAATCAGCAGAATTCGAACGTGTGTGTCAAAAATTTATTATTAAATTGGGCGATTTGAAATTCACCAGCGTAATAATATCCGATTAAATGTATCGGGATTTTAAAAATCACGTTGAAATCTGCCTCAGTAATTAATAAAAAAAAAGCATGAATTAGCAATGAAATCTATTCAAAATCGAACAAGCACTATCGGAATTCAAAACGTCTATCTATGCGATTAATTGGAGATTCATAAGTCGTAATAGTTTTGTATTAAAAATATCGGGATTTTAAAAAATTAAGTAGAAATCCACGAGTTTTACCACTGAAAAAGTGGTTTGAATAACAATGTGAAATCACAATGAAAATTTAACGCATCCGTCAAAAATTTATCATTTAAATGTGCAATTCAAAATTCACTTGCTGTATTATCCTATTAATATTTTATTCTATAACTGGCGTTGAATAGCTGACCTAGCTCTGAGCTTACGACTATCAATATTTAACTTCTTAGCCTGGTAATTTGGAACCCAAACCAGAAGAAAAGGGAACTCTTAGATTAAGCATTTGGTAAAACTAGCCTTCGTTCAGGATTTTTTGATGGAATGAACCCGCATTTGCATTATATGAAGTAGAAAACCTCTCTTGATTAACCCAACACCGAGGGAATTCTAACTCATAATCTGTCTACCACTGAAAACATTTTACGTCAGCAATGTGGTCGGTGCAAGATGGGAAATTCATTTCAACCAAAGGTGATCACTCAAATTTATAATTGAAAATTTCTGTGGCGTATTAATTCAGTTTTTTATTTTTAAAAATTCTAGTTTCTATCCACAGTTTTTTGTTAATGTTTGCGTATTCAATTAATATCGTAATTTCGGAATCTTCCTTTAAAAAAAAATTTTCGAAGATGCGTCCTGATTAATATGTTTATTTTAAACCCCCGCTATATTAACCCTTATTAGACATAACATCAAATTGTCCAATAATATGCATATCTAATCGTAAAAACATTACAGAGTTTTATTATTTTAATATTTATTTTCCAAAATCTCATATTTTTGTTCACATGTGTTCCAAATGTATAAGTATTTGATTTTTATGCAGGAATGTATTCACCAGAATTTCAAATTTGGAAGGAATAAAGAATAAAAATTAAGGAGGGGCTTGCATTTTTACTAGTTAAGAATAATTTTTGCAGGCTCTCAACATTTTTCAAATTCTTGGAGTATGAATATTTTTCTTGATTTTCAGCCATAATTTTATTAGTTATTTCATCAGCCTTCCTTTTTTTTCACAAACATTGGTGATGTTATTAAAAGTATTTAATGTGAGTTTTGCAGTTCTTTTATGTATTCTGTTTCATAGTCTCAATCTTCTTTTTAATTCAGACATCTGTGGAAAATTATGATTGGGTGAACATCACTGTGTCTGTTTTCCTCAAAAACTCTGCTGATATGCGGGAGAAGAAAGCATCTGACTACCTCACTTGTCACTTATTGATTAGAGATGCCCTGCAAAATGTTCTCTTGTGCAAAAAAATCAGGTACCTTTTTAGTCACTGCTCACATTATGCAAAAGAGTGCCTCATTTTTTAAATTTTTTTTCTTAGCAAAATGCAATACCCTCCAAAACTAGCCAAACAACAAGGAAATTGTAATGCCTCGTGTTTGACTCACACATACTTTTCAGAAAAATTTAAAACTGGTAGTTAAATATCAGGGAATCAAAATGTTTTAGCAAATTACTATCGATCAAAAATATTTGAAAATTAAATATTGTGTTACAACTGAGTTCCTAAAATGCATTAAAGACTGTAAAATTTATGATAAATCTTAGTCACCACTTTTTAAAATAGTAACCACTTTTTTCAACCTTATAAGCGTAAGTAGTAAGAGAAGTTCTTTGCGTAATGTGGTATCTCCACACTTAGCAGGTTTATTCGATAACACTTGGCACTAAAACAATTTCAACCAGCATGGCATGATGCAACAGGGTGTCTACCGGTCATGAAAATCATGAAAGTTTCGAATTTCAAAGGGATCACCAAATTAACGAATAAGTCACGATTCTTTAATTAAAGTCACAAATATTTTTTTTCAAGCACTGTCAGAAGTGATAACTCAAATTTGAAATTTGCTTTTCGAAATAACAAAGTATTAATAACGTTGAAATGGCCGAAAAACGATAAATAACTAAAAATAAAAAAAAAATAAACAATTTTAAAACATAATACACATATGACGGAATTGTTACGAACCATGTGGTTAAACGTGATAACTCGAATTCGAAATTCGCGTTTCGTAATAACATCGTTTTAAAAACATCAGCATTTTGAAAGTATGTGGAAATAACCAAAAAATGACAACTACTAGTGAAAACGGTGTGAAATTACAATAGAATCGTTGCAAATAGAGTTCGTCAAAAAAGTGATTACTTATTGCTTAAAAATATCAGTATTTAAGGGGGGGGAAACGAAATGGCTAAAAAACGATCAGCAAACGACTTAGATTTACGATAAAGTCGTCATGAATCAATTGCGCGTCTTCAAAAGAGATATAATACAAAATTAATAAAATTTCATACAATTAATACTAGATCAAATACAAAATTAGCATGCCGTAATAGCATCGAAATTTAAAAAACCAAATAGAAATGGTCAAAAAATTACTTTTATTTACAACGAAATTGTCGTTTATCTGGGAAATATGGTCTCAATGATTTGGTATGGAGAGCTGTCCAAAGTTAGGACCTCTCAATGTTAATTTTACTTTTTTCGTATTTCGCCGTAGTTTGAGAACTTTTAAAAAGAACTAAAATAAATTTCGCACACAACTATAAAATCTGTTAATTCAAGGATATATCAATGCGAAAAACAATTGATACTTGGTAATTTTTTTATTGTTTTTTTAATATTTTCTTTATTAACAATCAAAATAATTTTCAATTGTGAGGCAAACAAATTTTTACACCATTTTAAAAAATATAATTTTCTATGATGTAAATATGAAAAGATGTAAGTAATTATTTATAAAAGGTTTAGAGTTTTTACTCTATTTTTTTAAACAAATTATTTATTTTTTCAGACTGACAAATTCAATAATTAATTTTTTTACAGTTTCGATTTTGTATTGTGTTTTATTTTATTACCAGTGTGTTTCATCTACTTGTAGAAACTCTCAGCTAATTGAGTTGTACCAGTGGTGTAAGAAGATTTCTAGAGCTCAAAATGGTGATGAAATCAACATTCATTTAATTAGTGACAGTTACGGTAATTATTTTAAAGCTGACATTTGTTACTAACATCATTTAAAGCCCAGTCATTATGTTTTACTTCAAAAAATTGACTCATTTTTATACCTGTCTAATACAATTCGAGTTACTGGAACAAATGTGATTAGATTATTAAAAACCATAACATATTTTTTTTTTAAATAGTTGACATTCGTGTAATTAAAAATAGGATTATCTAATCACCTGGCTGAGTGACTGCTTGGAAAATTTTTAAACATCTATTGCTTATTCATTTGTAGGGATGCTTCTTTTTATGAATGAAACTTCTTCATGGTTTTTAGAAGAAAAGAAATAATGACCAACTATCCATTGACTGTTAAATTCTTCATTATTTATTTCGCAATTTTTTTTATTTATTTATTTTTTACAAATATTTCTCATTAACTAATGCACCTTTGAGGCTTTGGAAGTTACGCTTTATCAGAAATATTCATACCCATAAAGAAGTTTATTGTATTTTCGTATCTATACTTACGTATTATTTTAATAAATATATGGAAGTAAAGAATTATTTTTAACTTTAATTAAATACAAAGCATTTAACTAAAAAGTTTTTATTTTATTCTTTATAATTCATTGTAGTTGAAAAAATAAACATCCCATATCGAATAGATGGAATGCATTAAGAGATATTTTTCAGAAAATTCTGCTAAAAGCTGGAGATATATTTAAATAAAAAAAAAGGGCAGTCATCTCAATCTTTGATTCATTCCTTGTATAACATATGGAAAATGAATGTCTGCTATAAAACATATTCCTTTCCAAAGTTGACAACACTTCTGTTTGTTGTGCATCTGTTAGGTAGAAGAAATACATATTGAAAACACACAAGTCTATACAGTTATTTCTTTATTAATTATTGAAAACAGTGAGAAATGTATTTGTCCAACAAATGAATTAAAGGCAAATAAAGAATGAGGCTCATTAACTGGTAACTGAAACATGCGAAATTCGTCATCTGTTGTTGGTGCCAAACATGGTAAAAGTGCATGAAGAGCACACAATATCGCTGCTAGAAATTTTGCGTCTGATGCAGTTCATCTAGCCATTTCTCCTGATGAGGTCAAGTGATCCTTATATATATAAACAAGGTAATATATATAAAATCAAGGTTAGGAAACAAATAATTAAACAACAGTTAAGTATTGGTGAACGTTGTCATCTTGCATTCGCTGTTAAGATGACCATTAAGTTCCTTTACTAGGATTTTCAGGCAAGGCTACTGAAGAAAAACTCCACAGGATTGCGGCACACTGCAAAAATTATAGTCGTCACCCGAACACCACTTTTGTCAAAAAAAAGCACCCTATGTGCATTTTATTATTATTTTTTAATAAATATAACATTATTATGAATATTTTATGAAGTTCTGAAAATTACTTTATTTTCCTTTTTCTGCCATATTTTGAGGTATGTTTCAAAAATAATACCGCATCATTTATATGAACAATTTTTTAATCGCCTACAATATAATTTTTTTTTAAAAAAGGGCTATAAGTTTTACGAAAAAACTATTAAAAATGCTGCAACTGATCAGTAATGAAATTTCCTAATTTTACCCTACAGTTTGCAATCGACGTTTTGTCTTTGAAAAATAGATTGTCACATTACTATGACCCCATATATGTATACTAGAAAATACATAAATAAGACAACAGGAACAAATTTAGGAAACATTATGAGCTTTATTTAAGAAAAAGATGGAAAGCATATAAAAACTGTTTATGTATGCTTAATTTTATAGTAAGTTTTATTTTGTATTAAATACTTTAAAACAGTTTAACACTATTTCCAGATTAACGTTTCATTAACAGTGCAGATTTTCAAAAGTTATAACTTAGAATAATACAATTTTTAATGTTTCTTTTTTAGTTTGAATTTTTTTTTTTAATTAAAGTAATATGCTTTTTAGTAAAAGACATTTATTGTTCTTTGTAGTGGGTTTGGATGTGAATAAAAGTTTCAAGTTGGAATATCATTCCTCTTATTCAAATGAACCGCAAAGAGTAAGTTTCCTTTTCTTATGGGTTAAGTTCTGAAAATTGAAATTTTTCAATGCATTGATTCAAATTATGTTTTTTTTTCTTCCAGCAAACAAAAGAAAGCGGAAAAAGTAAGTGTTTAAAAAGACAGTTATTTGCAAATTAGAAAGTCTGTATATATACAGGGTATCTCAAATCTTATTGTACATAAGTTAGAGGGTGATAGAACACAACTAGATAAGCATAAATCACCATACAATCTACAATCAAATGCAAGTCATAAAACAGTAGAGCAAGAAATATGCTGTCACGAAATGATGGGAAACAAGACAGGTAGAGATGGATTTAAAGTAACCTATAAAATGAAGAAAAACAATTATGAAATTAAACAACACTAAGTCCCCTATCACAGGAACTGCTCAAAATTTCTACTGCCGATGTAACACTGGCGAAAACACCAGGCATTTCTCTTTTGGTGTCAGCAGCTACGAATATCCGGGCAACAAGCTCTTCAGAATGACCATCGTCGTAAATGAGGCTATTCATGTGGCATTCTTGGTACAGTCGCTAAAATGGCCTTGGATCAGAGAAGTCTTGTTGGAAAACAGTCTCCGTATAATCTTTGAGCTTCCTTTGCATTGCCGTCTGCAGCTCCATACATGTAATGCTTCTCAGCCTTCTCCTGATTTGAGTACACATCCATCTTATCAGTGAACCACGCAATGAAGGAAGACAGTTGACAGTCGCTGGGAGGTGCTCTCTATGTGTTATGGATTGTATGGTAATTTGTGCTTGTCTAATTGTGTTCTATCACTCCCTAACGTACGTACCATGAGTTTTGTGATACCCTATATAAAAAGTAAATTCCTCACTGAGTCATTCCATGTCAGATCAATAATTTTTGGACCGGCCCTCTCCAATTTAGATAAAATTTTCTAAAATGAACACATATGATAAACTAAGCAATTGTACTTATTTTTAGAATTTTAATTTGAAAATTATCCAAGTTTTGGACATTTAAAAAACTAAAATTTTTATTTAAGAAAAATTTCAAACTTGCTTACATATAAATGGCTGTAACTTTTTTTCCTAATTGTATCCGAAGAAAATTTCAAACTCCATTGCAAACGAAAAAATAAAGTTTTCATTTGATACCTTATATGACTTTCTAAGATAAAGACTTTTCAAAGTGTCTTGATAGACCTTTAACCTCAAATATCTCAAAACATGTGGTCTCAAAAAAAATTTAAAAAAAAAAAAACATATTTTTTACTGCAACATTTTTCTACATTTGCAAATTTATAGCCTGGAGTCTCAACAGGAAAAGTATAAAGAATTAGCTAAAGTGAAATATTTTATAATTGAAAATGTTATGCTGCGCGATGCACACAACAAACATTTTTTTCTTTTCTTGACAGAAAAAATTTGTGTTTAATATTTACCAATATAATACACATATTTTTTTAATAAATCAACAGATTTGTCAAAAATTTGCTACTACTAAAGACTGGTTTTACATGATCACAATTTTTAATTAATATGCAAATTAAATTATTAAACAAATATTATTAATAGTAATATTTTTATATATTATTGATAGTATTTTTATATAATAATATTTTATTATTATTATTTAAACAATATTTTGCAGGAAAAAAAATGTTTCTGACACAGATTATACCTTGATTATGAAAGTTAAAATATTTCAGTTATCACTTTTTTAGGGTTTATAAGATCAACCGTTGATGATCATATGGATTGTTGTAGTTACTGGGAGTATAGGGTACTTTCAGCTACATTTTAAGTTAATTATTTGATCTAAAAGAATTTCCATTCTTAATGCTTGTTGACCCAAAAAGGAAATTCATTGAAATAAGATGTATAAATCATAAGTCAATGTACATAACATACACAAGTCAATGAAAAAATACTACATAAGTTTTTTTTATTGTTTTAAATACATTTTATCACCATTTCTTTTATTTTTAATATAAGTTTTAAAAAAAAACATTTCAATTTTTTATTGGTATTATTTTATACTTGTTTCTAAGCTTAAAAGCAGATCTGCCCAAATCTTATTTTTATTTTTCTTCTTAGCAAAAATTGAGAGCTTACAAAATCAGAAGAGAATCTGCACTCACAAATGCCTGAATAAAATGATGTGTGGCCATACCTGTTGCAAGAACGGAGTAACTACATCGACAAGGAAGACCCGTGTCGAAAACTTTCTGGATGAGATGCACCACAAGATAAATTCATTCCCAACCAAAAAAATAAAAGTGAAACATTTTTATTTTAAAAAAAAAATATTGCAGAATGAGAATCACCATATTTATTAATCTTTGCTTTGTAGGTTGGTCCAATTGTAAAAGATGGAGGCAAGTTAAAAAGTGCACTAGAACAAACACAGAAAGTATATGTTGAAACTGTTAGAAGTTCAAAAAGTACCCTTGGTGATGAACGCACAGGAACACCTTGTGTTGATGAAATGTGGGGAGATGAGAGTAAGCAATTTTTTTTACTTGTTTTACCTGTTAGTTCCATTAAATTATATAAATAGATAATAGCTTAAAATCATGGCAAGTATATCAATTATACCTCAACCAATGAATTTTTATAAGATATTTTATCAGTTAGGAAATACTTGTTTTTCACAATGTTCATTACTAATAAAATTTACTTTTACACATAAAAATTGGGCCATTAAATTTTCTTCATATTATTTTCATTCAAGTTCCCCCCTTTTTAAAAAAAAATTTAATTACAGAAAGGTTTGAAAATATCGAAATACTCATCTAGTGCTTTAAATATATATTTTTTTTAAATTTATTGTTAAAAACGTATCTGAATAAAACAATTAGATTAATGAAGTATTAAATACTTTGTTATATTTCTTACACAAAAAAATGAGTAATATTGGGCAGTTAAGTATTAGTTATTTTGAAATTTGGTAGCTATTTTTTATCTTATTAAAATTAGTGATTTTTATGAAAATCTGATTTTTAAATTTAATTATTAAATATTATTCTTTTAAAAAGATAATTTAACTAATTTTTGGAATTTTCTTTTAATTTATTAATAGTTTAATTTTAGGAAATAAGTTAAACAAGTTCTTTATTTTTTTAAAACTATTTGTAAAACAAAATATTAAAAATCTTGCAGGGAAATAGTTTAAAAACTATTAGTAATTAATGCTCCTATTTGGTCCTCTTATATTACATACCAAGATTAAAATAATAATAATTTAATTTTTTATTATCTATATTGATATTTTTACCATGTGCATATTCAATTAAGGCCAGTCGGTGGCTAAAAAGCTTCTAATATTTAATAAGATATTTTTTCAATAATTTCTCTTATAATCATCAAAATGAAAATGTTATAATTAAAATTTGACCTTTTATTAATTAAATATATGCAATTTTGTCATATATATTTTTGTGTTTTTTTGGTAATCATTGTGCCGCTTATCTCAATGTTTTTAAAAATTCTTTTTAAGAAAAAAATAAAAAAAGGGATCAGTCACAAAATTTAAAAAGGATAGGAATTTGTAAATGTTTTCAAAATGTTGGAATATTGCTTGTAATAGAATATATATTCATTTATATGTTTATGAGGAAAAAAATTCATTTGGCAAAAAATTTCTTTTTTTCACTTTTTATGTTTTATAAATGTTATGTTTATGTATAAAAATAATACACTCATAGTCTATGTACAAAAAAGTATAAAGAAAATATAAAAAAAGCTTCACATTGAAAAAAAATAACCATAACATTTCTAAAAAAATTTTAATATTTTCTTCTTATAGCAATCACATGTCTGTTTTGCTTTCACTAAAAGAAAGAAAATATGTACTCACATATTAAAATTTTTATAACTTGTGAATCTTCATAAAGCCTTATTACAATCTTTAAAAAGTAGGTCTAGCTATCTTAAAATATAGAAAACAAAATATGCAAATCCATAACGAAATGTAGACTTTTTTAAAATTAAAACCGCTATTGAGTTTGTATACTTTTTTTAGAAAGTAATAAAATATGAATAGTACATAAATTATATGATATTGCTTAGGAAATAACATTGCACCTAACATGAATGTTTCTGCCTTCACCACTTGAAGAACATGTGATCTTTTATTTTATTTATTACTCAATGAAACCTAGTTGCTTTCTTGTGCAATTTTCCCTCAGGAAAATATCTGTATAAATATATATATTCAAGAAGTACAGAAATAGAATAGTATGTTAGAAGCTATGATAGCACAAAAGAATGACATCATGCAACATATTCTTAAGTCCTAGTTTGGTAATTTTTCATTCCAACATTTAATTCAAAAAAATTACTAATTTATAAAATTTATACTGAGTTTTTTTATAGCATGCACAATGTAAAAAAAAACATTTGTTTTTTTTTGTAATAAAATGCAGGGTTAATAACTTATTGTATTTTGAAGGAAACATGCAAGACTTTTGGATAAATGTATCCAATTCTACAGATTCTGCAAATAAAGAAAAGGATTTATCTGATGGATTATATTTCAATCTGTAAGTAAACATCAATTACTGAAATTTAAAAAAAAAAAAACAAGTCTAAATATATTAATAACTTGAACTATTTTAGAAATTTCGAGGATAATGCAAATATTGAATGTGGTAATGATGCAAGGAAAAAGGAAACCAATAATCCATCTCCAAATCAAGCAAATAAAATTTCTGAGAATACTAAAAGAAACAGAGTTGTTGAAGTAAGTTTTTTTTTTCATTCTTAGCAGAATCTGGAGTACTGTTATAAATGATTGAATTTTAATTAATTTCTAACGTCATTAGTAAGTTTGTAAAATTAAATTGAATGAATGAATTTCCTCACCTTAACAAATTCCAGTTATGGGTGAGATAGAAAGAAATGTAACAAATACTGGACAACTAGTTCGTTTTTTGAACTTACCAATAACGTGTATACTCATTGTGATATGTGAAAAATAAATTGAACGTTCAGATTCATTGATTAATTTTTTCGAGGATTTCATTGATTAATTTTTTCGAAGTTATTAGTGTTAGGCTTTTGAGTTAAATTAAATTGTGACATTGAAAACATCTTTAAGATTAACAAAGTATTTAACATTGTAATTTATCAATATTAACGTAATTATGTTGAGTGATGGATGGAGCAATTTTAGGCTGGTACAACAAAAAGATAAATCATAAGTGCTATAACTTTATTTAATGTTTCTTTTGATATTTTAAATTCTTTGATATAGAAGAAAATTATAATGTATACTTGGTAGTAGTGTACACAACACTTATTAAATACATCCAAGCTGATTGTGACTGTTAGACCTTCTCATTAAATTCCATTTAAAAATATTTATAATTTCAACTATTTCTGCTCAAATAATAGTTAACAAAATACATGTTAAGAGAACAAATAAAAAAAAATTTATTTTATCTTCTGCTAAATGTAATATGTGTTGTATCACATATGCAGTCTATATTAACAATTTAAAGAAGGCCTTTTTATGTAATCCTTTATTATCGGGATGCATCTTATTTCTGTTTAATTTGTTTTTGAAATTATACAAAGTAAAAATTTTTTATAGTTTATTTAAATGAAAAGATTCTACTAGTTCTACACATTCTAATATTTGTTTGTTTTTTAAATATTTTTTATTATTTTTTTCAAACATATAATTTAAATAAATATCTGTAATCACAATTTATACACTTAAAATGATTTTTCAAGTAACCTATGATGTTGTCTTAATTACAAATTTCTTTCAGAACAGAGATTCACCGTCTACTTCTGTTCCTTATGAAGAATTCATAAAAACCAGAAAAATCATGACAGTGTAAATGTCTTTTTCTTTTACTTTTTTGTGTTTACAATCTGCTACTGCAAATTAATGAATTACTATGTTAAAAGTATTATACTTTCTTTGCTTATTTTTAACTTAATGTAGGTGAAAGCTTATTCAGAGATTACATTAAACAATAATAACATGATCTATAGATATATTCTTAACATACAATAGATTACCTAAATTAATGTATGAAACTTATGATTAGTTGCATTTAAGCATTATAAAGACATTTGTAAAGGGCTCTAATTATTTTGTTTAAGTTGGATATGATGGTAGTATAGTATGTACATCAGCTACACTGTTCTTCGGAGCTGAACTCGTGGAAAAATACTACCAGAAGAGAGTCCATTATATGTACTTCTTTCAAGGGTGAAATCCTTAAATTCTATTACTTATCCAAGCCATATCGTAAGCTTAAATTTGTAAAAAATATTGGATAGACTTCTTAATTTGAAATGCAGCATACAATTTAACTTTTATAATATAATCTAGTTTTAAATAGTTAGATAATCAAATAATTTTTGATGTTTTGGCGCTGGAATTAGAAAAGACTGGATTGTGTGAGACACATAGAAAAAATTAAAACATTTCAATATCTTTTTCCCCTCTTACTTTTATATTGCGTTTTGATTAAAAAAATTATTGTAATGTAGCAATATATGTATATTGTATTATCTAACTCAGGGCATAAAATTTCAGTTCTAAACTACTAGCTGGGTTAAAATTTTGGCTCGCCACTATTTTCATGAAAATTATAAGCAATTTTCAAATGTAGCAAAAAGCTTTTTCTGACCAAAACTATAAAAGAATGTAGAAAATAAAAACTGAAACACTTTTATTGCTTAAAAACACTGATATAAGTTGAAAAAAAAGTTAATGGTTCTAATGTAATTCATAAATCATTGAAAGTCATTAAAATTAAAAAATTATCATGAAATTAAGACGTCAAAATTGTTCTCATATTTTAACACTTCAAATTTGTATACCGCAATGCTGTCCTATTTGATACCATGTGTCAAATTCAGGCCTAACATCAAATTCTGTGGGGGGGGGGGGAATAATAGAAATTCTGAGCAAATAATCAACTGTCTCAGTCTTCAAACAATTTCTGTTAAGCTGTCTTCAGTCTATTGTGACAGCTGAAGACTATCTCAGGAAACTGATCACTGGAGAGAGAACGCAAAAATTTTTACTATCTTGAGCATATTTGAAAACTCCTTGAACTTACCTAAGTCAATGTTAGGGAAGCAAACATAAACTTGAATTTGCTCACTCTTTCAACACATCATCGATCCACTTGTTCACTACAGAAATTTAAGTTTACATACGTGGAGAATTTCTTTATCACTTTTATAACAGTTACAAGAAAGGAAAGAAAGAACTCTATTGGGATGTGGCTAACGGAACAAATAATCCTGATAAGATATTATGATCTATTTCAATGATATATGGAAGTATTTATGGGACTTGTAAGTCCTGTTGGTGTATAACGGAGGTGATAAATTTAAATAAAAAACCGACATGAACATGTAGTTTATTAAAAATATGCCCTCTGACAGTGAAAATGTGAAGAAAAAAATTTTATCTACTCAAACACTTCTTAATTATATCTTACACAAAATATTATAATGTCTGAACAATATATATATTTTAAATACACAACTTTCATTTAGAAAAGGACAATTTGTAATCATTTCAAAAATAAAGAGGAAAAGTCTTAAATAAAGCTGATATCAATGTGTAAATCTATATTTGAAATCCTTTGAAATAATTTTGAATTAAATCAAAGAAATTGGGTAGATGTAGCTATGTTAAATTACTTAAAATTGATTTATCAGCATTATGATTTAGGTATGTAAAACTTGTATAATTATTGAAAATTCCTTTACCAATTTTCTTGATTATTGATATTTTTTATTAAAAATTCTTCTCAAAACTAAAAGTAGTACATAAGGAATTAAAATAGTCTAATTTTTAAAGAGAAAATAAAGTTCAAAGAAGGAAAAACAGTTTAATTTATAGCATAATGGTTAGCCCAAACAATAAATAACTAAATTTCATAACAAAGAAATATCATACAGTTCTAATTTCATGCACTAAGTGTAACATTAAGAATTTTTTTTCCCGTAATGCTTATTTCAAAATTAATTGTATAATATATAATGAAGAAATACAGTACAACACATTTGAATATTTTCACACATAAATATTTAAGATAAATATTTTAGCATGTGATCTTTGGAATTCAAATGTTTTTCTCCTTTGCAGGGAGCAACAGAAAGATCCTGCTGCCCAAAAGGAACTTTATGACATGATTGTTGGATATCTTAGCAATTACTAGCGATCAAACCAATTGTTTGTCTGCATACTTCTCCTTTTGTTCAATGGCAGTATTTATTAAGAATTTTCATCTGTAAAATTTTTTTCCTAGATGAATAAATAAAAAAAATGATATCTGGATCAATAAGCTACAGAAAAGCATGGAGTTAAGGAATATATTAAATATTAGTTGATTCTTTACAGAAAGTACAAAATGAACTTTTTTTTTATAAATGCATGCCCTGCTGGACATGCTAGTCTAAAACACACATGCTCAAATATCTTATTTGATTGCATATTGATGAAATCATTCATATGAATGCACCTATTATTAATCAGTCCAAAGAATTATATTCACAAAATTATGTCTACATCAACACTTTTATTTTTAATATATCTCAAAAGAAGTTAACTCAGAAGTATACAAGGTATTATTAACTAAGCAGTATTAAATACTAATAGTGTAAATGGAGTACATTATTATTATTAATAAAGAAGTAATTTTATATAAATTAATTTCTTTTGCACAGTGATTAGGGTAGACTTTTTTTGTAAAGATAAGGACTAGAGAAATAAAGAATAAGTTAATTTTATTTACTAAATTCTTATTTATTAAACTTTACAAAGTCAATTATATTTAAGGCTTATCATATAATTAATTCATTTTCTATTTTTTCTCCTCCTTTGGTATTGTTTTCTTTGCCCCATTCTGGCATATTGGCAATTTTTGTCAAAATTTGAGAGTCACTTAATTGATCTTTCTGATTAAATACTTACATACACTGGGCTTGCCAGTTCATATAATGTTTATAAATATTATAAAAGTTGTTTCATTTTAATTAGCAACATAAACCAAAAATGTTTTATTAACTTAACTAGGAGGCTTCGCCCCCTGCTCGCAAACCCCCGGAACTGCTTTCGCAGTTCATTGGATACGTTCTTAACGTCTAGCTTTTGTATACTTTTTTGAACACTGAAGTTCCGAAAACTTTTCACTGTAGAAAATTCTAAACCTGTGCATTTCAATATTAATTTGAAATTGCACACAGTTCACATATTTTTCTTGATCACACTATTCTAAATTTCAGTTGTTGAGAAAAGTAACTGTTGTAAGTTTTGTTTTAAAGTCTTTCCCACCAGAGGGCTAAAACCATGTGTTGTAAAACAATATGAAATAGTACTGAACGCCGGATGTAAAGCATCGGCTTCGATGAAGATAATTTTGTGAGAATGTTTTTGATAATTAGGTGAGAATTCACCCGATTAGACATATGATACTCACTACGTGCTCTTGCGCGCCGAAGCCTATCAATGAAAACGTATTAGCGTTTTATATAATATAGATCAGCCATATGATGCTCACGCGCTTTTGCGCGCCGAAGCCTATCAATTAAAAATTAAAACTGTTGCCAACACGAGAAAAGAAATATCATTGATTTTATTGATACATACGTACGTATTAGCGTTTTATATAATATAGATAGTTTCTGTTAATTTCAGGCCACAAATATGACTTTCATACTGAGAAGCAAACAACCCTATCTTTTTAAGAGCTAGACAAATTATCTTAATCATTGTTCAATCATCACAGTTCTAGACATATGGTAAGATACATGTAAGGTAAAATTTTAAAAAAACTGTCAATGGCTCTGTTGACTAAACTGTTAATACAATATTTTGAAAATTGCAGCTACCCCTTATATTTTGAGGGTCCAAACTCTTAATAGAACAAAGAAAATTTATATTTCTTCTAAAAAAAAATTCTGAGCTTGATTTTATAATTTGAAATAACTCACACAATTAACTACCATATTTAAGGTTAGCATCTTTAAGTATATAAAAAACTGATCATTAAATAAATGTATTAAGGTGTTCTTTTTTGCACTGAACAATCAAATACTTAAAAATCTTAATGTCCATTGCCTTCTTAATGAAGACTTCTACAAACAACTCCCACTGATTAATATTATGGTTTAGTTACTATGCCAATATGATTAGCAGTGTATGTAATCCATTGAATTAAGTGAATCAGTGTCTGTAATCCATAAACATGCAAAAATTACATTCCTGAACTTTTTTGCTTAACATAATAATCAGACTTCAGTCAACTGAATATTGAACAATTCATTGTCTATTTCAAGTAGGGGTGTAGAGTCACTGTTTAGTACAGGTTTTGGCTTAGGCCAAAAGGAAAGGGAATCTTTTTCTCCAGTCTATTGTGTTAGCCCTAGAGTGAAGACAAGCTATACTCCCTAAAATGCGCTATTCTTGTTTCCATAGCAGCAGATGGTCTCAGACTTTGTGGCGGGGAGAGTTCTTACCGTAGACGAACGATATATTAATGACTGACCTTTGTACGCATGAAAGTTATTCCTTCTTCTTCCAAAGCGGCTTCTGTGGCTTTAAATACATCCTCTTCATTCATAAAACTGCCATTCTTTTCTAAATACTGGTATTTTTCAACAAACCTATAATAAAAATTATTCACAGTTAAAGACAGAACATATATAAAATAATTATGTATATTTATTAAAAAATAATTTATAATTTTTTTATTATAAACAATTTTTTTAATTAATATTTTTTTATTAATAATTTTTTAATGTGATATCAAATTAGTTAATTAATATAACTTTATTTTTTTTCACTTACAGTTAAGAGTTCAAAACTCTTTACAAATCTTAATATTAAATACTTTTTTAAAATACTACTTTTACAATTTACATTAGGCTAAGTTAATAACTAAACAAATATAGTTATAAGTTATATTTTTAAAAAAAGTTTAAATTAAGAGCAAGTTTTCAAATGTAATTTTTAATGAGAAACAAGTAGCACATTGTACACCTGAAAATTAACTGTGACACTTATTGTAAAAGGTTTACCATTTCTGATTTAGATAGGTAAAAAGTCTTCATTTGAAGCCAAAGCTTACAAACAATAACTGATTTAATTATTCATTAATACATATTTTTATTATAGTGATAAAACGTAAAAGTTTGCTTTCCTCCACTGATATTAATCCATTTTTAAAACAAGGAATTAAAAAAAATTATTTCATCAAAATAAAACTATAAAGTCCTTAATAATGAATGCCTAAGAATCACTTAGGTTTAACAAGAAATTTTTAACTGTATAATTATATTGTTGTATAATTGAAACAAAACTGACTTAAATTTAAGAAACAATTATTCATTATAATTTAAATCTATTTCGATAAAATCCACTGATTAGAATCAGTTGCAATCACAGAGTCAATTAAGTGATTAGAATCATCGAACCAGTACCCAACTCTATTTGTTTCAGAATAAATTACTTCAAAACCAAAAAAGTCAAATGTTTTTCATGAGTTTTTATACCTTTGCATTATTGATTGTTCTGAAGGTTGAAGTAAATTGTGCACACTTGCAGGTCCATATAACTTTAAGAATTTCCTGAAAATAAAATGGAAAAGAAATGTCTAATGATAAAGTTATTGAAACATGGTACAAATTAATAATACTACAGACACAGCTAGCCGGAGAGTTAAGCAAGCAAAAGATTCCCCATAGGTACCAGGAGCTAAAATTTTATAATGAAAAAAATAAAGGAAATAATTTGTTAAAAATATTTACTTAACAGCAATTAATTTTTTTTTCCTTCCCTTTTTTTACATTGTGTAATTTTGTATAGCAAAAATTATTAGCAAGAGAATTATAATTTTTTTTTGCAGTCATGTGCACTTATGTCTAAAAATGAGCTTTGATTTTCAAATAAGTTTTGAAGAAACTAAATAGCATATTTTTATTTATGATTCTTCGGATTTTTGGAGGTAAATATAATCGCTGTAAAAGTATAATTTTTGTAGGCGGGTACTCTTATTTCTAAAAATAAAAAAAAAAAATTTTTTTTAAAAATTCATATTAGTTTTGGAATTAATTAAATTCTAAGGTTTGTTTTTAAGGCTTATTTCCATGAAATTTATTTGAATCCCAAAACATTGACAAAATACTAGTCCTATAGCTCCTAGGATATTTAAAGTTTAAAACTTAGGAGTACAGCTCTGAAAATTGGCGAGTTACATAGAAGCCTTTGGATATACAAAAATAAAATGATAGAAAAAGAACCATTAACAATTCATTTTTAATTTTGAAAATTAGCACAACTTTTACTTTGCCCATATTTTTTCTCAATACATATAAATTATCTTATGTGCTTTAAAGAATCTTTTTATTCATACATAATAAACAATAAGGTATATGAATGGAAAATAATAGCCGATTGATTAAGATTATATGTACCATGGAAAATAAGAATGGTTGAAATTGATTTTGCAAAATTTTCCAATTTATCAAACATGCAACTATTCTTTAAACTTATTTACAAATTTGTTACCATTTTTTTACTTCTCAATTTTTAGTTTAGTGTCTTATCTCTTTCACATAAAAAAGCATTCTCGTCTTAAGTATATCGATTTTATTTATTTTTTTATTTTGTTGTTTTGCAACAAAATAATTTTTAACTTTAGTCTGTAAAAATTTCGATAAATGTTCTAAACCAAAAGAGTTAATCAGGCCATGAATTTTCCTCTAAAAATTTATGGCTTGGTTGAAAAAGTCGTTCATATATAGTAAGCTTTGCAAAAAAAAACCTGCTTCGGCTGGCTTTTATTACAGAAAAAACAAATACCCTCTTATGTTGTCTTCAGGATAAAAAATTGGTTTGATTTCTTTAGGAAGAGGTGGACGACTGAAGGTGGGCTCATGTTTGGGTGGAAATGATTTATAGACATCATACCATATAGGTTTGTCTTCTCCTTTGATGGCACCTGTCTTTAGAAGACCGCTCAGGCTAAAATTATAAATTAAGATTATAATATTAATTATTCCAATAAAGTTACATGAGCAATAAATAATTTCATACAGTTACAAATAATTACACAATCAATGTAGTATTAATTAGAGTTCGTATAAAGTATAAAAAATTATATATTCTTGTATTACTTAAAGACATATTTTTTAGTAATAAGTACATAGTAATAAAGACATATTTTTTAATGAGAAAGAGGCAGATATGCATTTTTTTTTAACTGAGCAATATTATACCCATGCATCATTTTTTGCTATATATTACTATTTTTTTATTTAAATTGCAACATAATAGAAATACAAAAAGTAATAAAAATATGAAATTTAAGAACAACTTTTTGTATTTCATAAAGAATAAAGCTTCTGTATGTTATAATTTAAAAATTCTCCTTAGACATAACAGATTTTGTTTCCTATTTATTCGTAAAGCATGTATTGTAGGGAAAAAAGAAAGTTTCCATTATTAAAAATAAAATAAAGTGATGGCTTTTTTTTCCAGTTTATTACTAAGTAAATATGCATATTCTAATTCCAAGGAATGAATTGAGTCGATGATCCTATAACACAAACCTTAAAACATTGCATTAGAATCTTGTTTTAAATTTATAACCAATAAATTCACTTGAACAGCATTAATATTTTCAGAAAAACTTCAATTTTTTTCAAAACATAATAATCTTGTCTTTAATTGTATTATCTTATCATCTTATTGATAATTCAAAAATAAGAGCTAAAGCTATTTAATTTATATAGATTCACAATAATTGAGATATATTATTTGGGAATTTATAATATGGTATGGTAAATATTTTATTTTAATAAATAATTCTTGATATTTCAAAAAAAATATGTTAATTTTATCAATTAAATAGATTAAAATCATCAAACTGTAAGGTATATTAAAATGGAAAAATAAAGAAATATTTTACAGAAGTAGTAAAAAGATATTCAAATTGCATTCAATTTGACTCTTAAATAATTTTATATTTTATTAATAATGATAATAACAAATATTTAAAGAAGAAAATACTTGTCATAGTTGTTAGTTTATTGAAATAGGCACATTATTCTTTTATAAAATAAAACAAAGCAATTCAAATTTTCAATATAAGACATTTCTAAAGATGTTTCTTAAAAAGTCCAAATTCCACATAAGGAACAATTTAAAATGTAACAGGACGATTATCTTTTTAGATTGTCTTAACATAAAATTTCATTGTTGCTAATTCTATGCAGAATTTTCTCAAGCAAAGTTCTGCATTTAAAAGCATGGAAGCCTTTGGCCTCTTTATTAGAGGAAAAAGATTGTAATGCAGAAATTGAATCAGAAAGACAGGGTTGGGTTCCCTTAGTCCTTGAAAAAATTTAGTAGTGGTAGCAAATTTAGGTAAATGCTAGAAGATATTTCTTATTTCAATATACCACTTTATTGTTAAGTGGTTTAGAAGCTGGAATTTTCATGCATATATACTTATTGTTTGGAAAACAATTTTAGTGGTGGTTACACAAAAATTAAAATATCGACATTTGTTTTTTCGTTGCTACTTTTTAAAATTTTCAAGGCCTGCGGTAACGCTGGAAAGAATAACTACTGTTTTAAAAGAGCCTCACACTCATAGAATAAGTTGTTTAGTTGTTACAAGAATTTATTGTAACTCTCCATCAAAATGAGTGTTGAATTTTCAACCAAGAGGCAAACACAAAACTGGTCACCAAAGATTCCAGTTCCAGCGCAGAAAGCCAGCCATCTGTAGAGACATGTAACCAGTTCTTCGATCTAGTAGTTACATTAAATGTAACAAAATGTATTTTTGTTGGAAATAAAACCAGCCAACTTCATAATGAATTGCAAAGCCAGAAAAATCCAAAACGAAAAAATTTAATAATTTCAAGCCACCACTGATTTTACTTTCCACCACTTACCATTACTTTTGACCAGAACACTTTGAAAAGTGTTCTGGCCCCTATCTCATATTGGCTAAGAGTTGAAATAAAAAATTGTCAATTCCTGAAATAATGTTTTGGAGAGGTACGGTTTTGCAACTGATCAACATACAGATAAATTATAAACTCGTAATATTAATAGGAACTAAAGTTTGCTTTATTGAAATGAATCCAATAAAAACATTTTTAAAAAGAATTATAAAATGGTTTTAAAGATTAGTTAGATGGAGTTATAATAAAAAAATTAAGTACATAGTTTCGTAAAAACTAGTTAACTAGAAAAACATTGTAAGTCTGTAACACAAGAATAAAAATGACAAAATATAAAAAAAGGAAACACATGGGTAACAACACACTGATATATTTACCGCTCAAATATCGAACCAGTTCTTTGAAGTCTATTTCCAGCCATATTATTTCAAAAAAGATGAAACTGTGAATAAAAAAGTAAATTTGTAATTTTAAAAAAAAGAGAGAAAGACTAATTCTAAAACAGATATACAGTAGAGTCTTGATAATTGGAAGCGGACCTTGCCCACCTTGAACTTTCATAAAGTCTAATTATGGAAAACATAGAATTTAATAAATGGAAAAAAGCAATTTTTAAATTTCAGTATTAAATTGAAAAATATATTATAATTAAAGAAAATTAGGAACATTAAAAGATCTGGGTGTCTCTATTTAACCTAATTACATTATACATTACTGCATCAAGTACTTAGCAAAAAACATTAGACAATTATTTTAAACGGATTGCTCCTTTTTCATGTACCAATATCGCTCCATCATCGAAGTAGCACATTGTTGGCTGATGTTGCAGTCATTCCTTGCCGTGACTCATTCATAGCAAGGAATATGCCAGATTCTCCTCTTCAATGTCTTCTTGCATTGCCAGAGTCTTGGTCATTTTTACATTGGCAACATATAAAAATTCTAATTGTTCATCACATTCCAGCAGCTATTGCTCTACCATATCATGTCTGTGTTTTTGCATCCTGGAAATTTTTTTATCAGGCTACAACTTTGTTTTTCGTCATTTAACCAACGTAAAACCAGTTGTCGTAGTAATCGTTACACGTGTGTGTTGGTCCTTATTTGGGATGAAGACTGATTTTTTTTTCCCTAGCTTGGGTTTATGGGAAACTCAAACAATCGAAACTTGAACTATCAATACTTTACTGTACATAGTAATTTTAATTTAGTAAAAAAAAATTAAAACAGAACAATAACTTGTTCACAACTGTAGCTACAACAACAAATTATGGAAATAGTTTAACATAGGTCAGCCATGTAATATTGTAAATAAAATTTAAACGTAGCATTAAAAATAAAAACTTTTTTTAAAAATTAGCATTATAAGATTAAGTTTAAATTTCATTAATAATATTACATGGCTAATCTTTGATTAATAAACTATAAGCATAATTTGTTGTTAGCTACAGTCGCAAACAAGTTCTGTTTTAATTTTAATCTTTGATAAACTATTATACTTGCATAATTTGTAATAAAAAACTTTATTAAATATTTGATCCAACTGCTGCAATATATAACATATTTTAACATTTATTACATTAAATTGATTTTTTAATCAGTAGAAATAATATAAATTATTTCTATTAATTAACTAGAAATGAACATAATTTGGCTTACAGTATAACAAATATAAAGTCAATGCCTACTTCACCTAAATTATGAAATGGACGCCCTTAAAAATTTGAATCATTTATTTAAAAAGATTTCATGTCATTTTTTCAGGCACATACAACTGTTTGTACCACCAAAGGAAATAAAAGTTATGATAAATCTTTTTGTATAATTTCAAAAAGTATAAAAAATAGCCTACAAAAATTAATAATAACAGTCAAAGTAACTTTTCTAATACAGTTTCATGTATCAATTTGCAATAACTCGAACTCTATTTTTTTTAAAATTAAATCAAGTCTTTCTACCTATCAATGTTATTCTTTATTATTTGACTTTAACTTTTTTTTCTATTACACCTATCAGTTGGTTCAATAAAATTAATTTTAGCTATTACGTTGAAGCAAATTTTGAGTAATCATAGAAAGTGTTTCAAGTGAATTTTTTACTATTTATTTAAAAAAACATGGTGACAATTACTGTGGAATCATTATTTACTTCTTATGAGAAATTCTAAATATTTATAATTTAATAAAATATTATAATTTCTATTTAGTTATTTCTGAATTGACAAACCCTACATTCATTTCTAGCTATGAGAGAAGATGTATTTACATTAAAACATTTCTAAAATATTCTTACTTTAATTAAAGGACCCTCTATTTATGAAAAAAATCGCTTGTAATAATAAAAATTTTATTTGTTTCATAAAAAGTTTAGAAATTCATAAAAACCACGTTTCTCACCATTAGAATTAGATTCTCCTTGAAACTACAGGAATCATGTTACTGTTGTTATTTGTTATGCGGTTTGGTTGGTTGATTGATTGATGTTATTTTGTTTGATTGATGTCGAACTTTCCGTCAACAGTCTTTAGTTGCGGAAAAGTGGAGTTTCCATCGCAATCAGAGAGAGTAAAGATGGTCTATTCACGATCGTTACGCTCGAATACGCCACCTGAGGAAAAAATCGGTTCCATGTTTTAACCCTCCTCCTTCCTTTTTCTCAGTTGTACGAATGGTTGCAGTGGCGTACGCAAGGGAGGGGTTTAAGGGTTTAAACACCCCCTTGAGCTCAGACAAAATGGCAAAAATAAAAATTTTAGTAGAAATTATGCGAGCTATTATTTTTTAAGACTATATATTTTTTTTAACCTTATGCCTGCTTTTTTTTTCTCACGGTATTTCTCAGAATACTGAAAAAGTATTTACTATAAGGGTTGTACTTTTGAAACCAAATTCACGTGATACTGTTATGGACTGGTTCCTTTCTGTCCTGCCAGTATAGTTTTCGAGACTGGCTGTCATTCGCGAGGTCTTTAAGCGATGATTCTGAAATCCTAGACGTTCTGTCGTCTTTGAGACAATTCGAGAATTTTGGAGATGCGGTGAAAAATTATATAAAAGGGGGAACGGAGTACAGTGGAATTAGTTAGTCAGACTAAGAGTTATCTCTGTCGCTTGTCTTTCGGAGCTTGTCGCTAAATCAGTTTTGTTTTGTCTTAACAAAAAGTTCATTCAATCGCCGAACCCGTCGTCACCAGTATTTCGACTAGTGAAGAAATCAGTAACAATACGAGTACCAGAGATACTGTGCTCGTTGAAGTTATTCATTCCAGCTCGAAACTTTAAGATCGTAGCACAGCGGATATTTCTGTGCTAATATATACATATATTTGCTGTTCTTGGATCTTTAGGATTTAACAATTTTTAACGCAAGAATTTAGCAATTTTTAATTATTTTGAGAAAAAATCACGATACGAAATTAGTGAGGTGACAGCATCTAGTA